TTTCTCCATCAGTGTTTCCGGAGTGGGTCTGAGTGAACCCTTAGTCCCTTGTGGTGTCACGTGGACATGTTTGAACTGTAAGCGGTGACACTGAGAAAGCAGAGAGCTGTATTTCAGATTTTGAAATGAGCACATTAGGCTCAGCCTGGAACAAGAGCTTCCATCTTGTAGACATCTTTGTAAGCAAGGGCAAAAGGGGGATGAAAAATACACTACTGCTGGCCGCTTTGCAGTCTAAACCAGAATTTTGTCATGTTTGTTTTTCTCTGTATTTATGAGATTTGATTATTTAAAGAACCATTTCCCAAACAAGTGCCGATTTGGACCCTGGAGACAGTTTGAGGTTCCATGTTGGTGACTATATGTTGTTTGCATCCCTGTGTGTATCCTTGGATGATTTAAATTTTTGCTCACTAGATGGTGCTCTTTCACTTTGAAATAAAATGTATTTAATTTATTTATTTATTCATTTTAAAAATCTTTAATTGAATTTACTAGGGTGACATTGGTTGATAAAATTATATAGGTTTCAGGTGCACAGTGCTATAACATATCACCTGTATATTGTATCATGTATTTACCACCCCAAGTCAAGTCCCCTTCCCTCCTCATTCATCTCCCCTTTACCCTCTTCTACCTAACCCCTCCCCTTTCCCTCTGATAATCACTATACTGTTGATGAGGGTGTTTTTTCTTTGCTTACTTAATCTCTTCACCCTTTTCACCCAATCTAGCAGAGGCCCATCCCTCCCTGGTAGACAGAATCCCTGCTGGTTTTCCCAGCCAGATGTTATGTGGGCACCTCTTCCTGGCTTGGTGCTCTGGACTGAGGGGTCCAGCTTGCATTTTACATTATATACCCTTGGCCCACATACAAGAGACTATAGTTACATATTTTTATGTGGTTTAATCTGTTCTCTCCTATACTTGATGTAAAAATCACGTGGGAAACCAACAAACACTGATTGCTGGGTCCCGGAGACCCAGGAACTTAATAGGTATTCTAGCCAGTTCCAGTTCTGAGGAGCAGGCGTGTTCTGAGCAACACCGGGTTTTAGTCCTGTAGCTGTGAGCATTTTCAGGAGAGACTAACATGCCAGTCAGCCCGTTCAAACTGCAGTCGAAGATAGTTAAGACTGAAATTTTGAATGCAGAGACAGCTCTTTTTGTAAATATTGCCTAGAGAAGTTATAATGGCTGTACTAATAATTGTTGAAGAAAATGCTTTGTTTGTGTACGTAAGTGAGTTAAAGTTGGCAGAGAACCTTATCAGAGAAAACGCCTCCCTGTTAGGTTGCATTAGGGAACAACCGCTGTGAACGCAACACCCTAACCCTAGCCTTATTGTGGAGGCTCTCCCAACTCATGGTGTTTGGATATTAGTTTTGTTGGACTTTTAAGCCCCTGACACTTAAATGATTTAGAGAGTTTTAACCAATCCTAAGGTCTTTGATCTTCACAGTGTCCCTTGGACAGGGCAAATGTCAGAGGAGGGACTCAGGAACAGGGTGAGGAGGAGATGTGCCTAAGGCCAAGAGCAGCCACCAGGAGACTCGGTCTGGGAGATAGCTGGTGGGGGCCGGAGGTGATGGCAGGGACTCAAACTAAGCACAGCTGCTGGGATGTCTCCCCTGGAGGCCCCATGCATTCCTGAACACTGAAGCTATTGCTCCATCCTGGTCCTAAGAGTGGGTAGCTTAAAAAAATATGCTTTCTCCCTCCCATTCTTCTTTCCTTTTTCTCTCTCACTGTCATCTCTCTCTCTCTCTTTCTCTTCAGTAGCTCAGTTGCACCTTGTGAACATGACGTGCTGTTGATGCCATCTTGATTCTCAAATGCGCAGTGGGAAAGGGATGGGTGGATCACACTGGGAGGCCATTATGTGTAATTTGACTAAAATCTCCACCAGGGGATTCAGATGTCTTATCCTAGAGAATCGATTGTTTAGAAGGACTCTGGCAGAATTGCTTGTTCCTTGTAAAAGATGCTTAACACACATTTTCTGATGCTCTCCCTGACCTGAGGTGAAGTACAGTACGTGAAGGACTTAGCAGAGAAGGCACGCATCAGAGGCAGTCAGTAAAATTGGCATTGTTAATGATTGTGATGATGATGAAGGCTTGTCTCTGTTATTCAGCTCTATCACTAAAACTAGTGGGAGAGAACTTTTGGCATATCCCATGAAGGTCTTGGCCTCTGTCAGGCTGACCTATGAGGTAACAGGACACCTAGATTGCTGGGGAGACTTGAGAACCCAACTGAAGAGAGTGGCAGAGGCAGGTTCCCACCCTGGGCCTGGGCTCTGAGCCTCCCTTCCGTCGCTGTAGGAGGCCAACTGCCGACTGCCTCACCTCCCTTCAAGCCTTGACTCACATCTCACTTGTCAGTGAGGCTAATGCCTCCACCCCTGTCCCATAGCTGCTACTTTTGATCCTTTTGTTGTTTTTGCCTCAGCAGTTATGTTCTAGTAAACTAGATAATTTATTCATTTGACTCATTTTTGTCTCCCTGCACAAGACTGTAAACTCCATGTGGACAGGGTCTTTTTTCTTCACTGACAAATCCCCTAACCCCTAGAATAGTGCACTGGTACAGAGTGGAGGTTCAGAAAATATATGCTGACTGAATGAATGCTTTCTTATATAACATTTCATGGCATTAGTAAGCATGTATATATATGAGTGCAGGTCTGTCCAGAAAGTATCCAGCCACACACTATGAGAAGTTGAGACATTTATTGAAGAAGATACAAGAAACATTGTATATAGGACAATGACATCTCAGTCCCCCTCAAAGTGGGCACCTTGGGACCTCACACAGTTCTCTCAACACGTTTTCCACAGCTCAAAATGCTGCAAAATCCTTAGTTGGAATCACCATCAGCTGCCCTGTCATATTTTCCTGAATCATGGACAGTCTGAAATCTCTTCCCTTTCAAAGGTGATTTTAGTTTGAGAAAAGCCAAGAGTCTCAGGGCACCAAATCTGGACTGTATGGGTGCTGAGTCACCTGAGTGATTTGATGTTTTGCCAAAAAGCTCTGCACAAGACCTGGTGCATGAGTGGGCGCATTGTTGTAATGACGCTGCCAATCACCAGTTGCCCACAGAAGCATATTGCATCTCTTAACTGACAAAGAACATTGAGGTAGTATTCCTTATTAATTGTTTGGCCTGGAGGGGCATACTCATGATGGACAACACCTTCCCAATCAAAAAACACAGTTAACATGATCTTGATCTTGCTGTGACTTTTCTGCGCTTTCTTTGGGCATAGAGAACCAGGCAACTTCCATTGGGATGACTGAGCCTTCGTTTCCAGATCACAGCTGTAGATCCATCATTCACCTCTGGTTATGACCTTGAGAAAATCTGGTTCATTGGTAGTGGTTTGAATCAGATCATTAGCAACTGCAGCACGATGCTCCTTCTGCTGTAGCAGCAGAAGCTGCAGAATATATTTTGCCATGACACGTTTCATGCCAAAATCTTGTGCCAAAATCTCAGACACAGTAGTTTTTGGAATCCCCAGATCAGCTTCTAGTTCTTGCACTGTCAGTCACCCATCTTTGTTGACTGCAGCCCATACACATTCAACATTCTCAGGAGTTCTGCTTGTTGCAGGCCTTCCAGAAGGTAGATCACTTTCAACAGATTCTCGACCGTCTTTGAAGCATTTGTGCCACATTTTTATTTGTGGTACCTCTATTGTATCATCCCCAAAAGCCTTCTGAATCACCTGCATAGTTTCTGTGGAGGAATGTTAAAGCTTAGAGAAAAATTTTATGCAAATTTGTGGCTCTACTCAGTCATTTTGAATGAGATGACCACACAGTGCACATGATCACTCAATGGCATCTCCTGCACCCCACTGACTAGTACAGTGAAGTCATCATTGTTCACCCATGCACACTCCTGTCCACTGTCCTTGGCTGTCAGGTTACGTGGAAGTCATGTAGACCATTCTCATTATTATTAACAATGGCTGGACTTTTCCTGGAGAGACCTCATATAAGTCACTTAATACTAATTTTTAGTAAATATTAAATATTTCTGAAGGAAGATTAAGGTTTGTTTTTCTATTAACAGTAGTTTCCTCTGTAAACAACCACACAAAAAAAGCTCTGGTGTAGATTAGAAGGGTTAATGCACTTAAAGTTTTAGAATAGGGCCTGGAATGTAGCAAGAAATTAGTTAAGTGGAATTTGTAGACTCCTTACTTGTTTAAAATGTATTTATATGGTATACTTATTTTTCAGTTACATTTAAAGTTAAATGGTTTAATCAGTTTTAAGAAGGAAAAACATAGATGAATGTACGATTTGGATATTTTTTATATTCTTGTCTTTATTGATCTACATCACTACATCAGTGATAACATACTTAGAATGAATCAAATATTGAATTTAGCCCCGGCTGGTGTAGCTCAGTGGATTGAGTGCAGGCTGTGAACCAAAGCATCGCAGGTTCGATTCCCAGTCAGGGCACTTGCCTGAGTTGCAGGCCATGTCCCCAGTGGGGGCCACGTGAAAGGTAACCACACATTGATGTTTCTCTCTCTCTCTTTCTCCCTCCCTTCCCCTTGCTAAAGACAAATAAATAAAATCTTTAAAAAAAGAAAGAAAAACTACAATGCAAGGTTATAGCCCTATGTTCTAAAAAATTTTTTTAAAAATATGGAATTTATTATAGAATCCCTTTTCTTATATTGTACCATCAGTTTTAAAACAAGAGTTTGGCCCTGGCTGGTGTGGCTTAGTGGATTGAGTGCTGGCCTGTGAACCAAAGGGTCAATGGTTCAATTCCCAGTCAGGGTACATGCCTGGGTTGCAAGCCAGGTCCCCAGTAAGGGGCATGTGAGAGGCAACCACACATTGATGTTTCTTTCCCTCTCTTTCTCCTTCCTTTCTCCTTTCTAAAAATAAATAAAATATGTTAAAAATAAAAATAAAACAAGAGTTTAGAGGCTTCACATGAGCTGTTTGATTTTGATTTCTTATAGATCCCCACATTAAGGTTTCTGGAAAGAAAGAAGATGTTAAAGAAGCCAAGGAAATGATCATGTCTGTCTTAGACACAAAAGTAAGTGAATGTTAAGGACACTCAGATGTCAGAACCTTGTCTCTGCAAGGGCTACTTCATGCTGTTATGAAAGACCATTTGGAGAAGAAAAACCAGGAGAAAGTAATGGTGGGTTTTAAAATAAACACATGTGATTCTACAATGGGTGTAAAGTTCTGTTTAAAATCTAATAGGTTCTTTCTTACTGGGTAATTGAATAATGTTATATCTACATGGGTATATATATATACATACATATACTTATGTTGTAAATGTACATATGTATGTATGTGCCATCTTCAGAAATAGACATTGATCCTGATTAGTGTAGGATAAGTAATGAACTGTGAGAATCAGCACATCAGCCTTCACGCTGCCAGTAGAACACCAAAATGACCTTCCATGTAGCTCTGTGTGTGATGGCATGCTGTCGGACCCTTTCTCCTGTGCATTCTTTCTCTGCAACTGCATATAGAAATAATAGGGAAATTTAAATATATAAAAATGCACACTCATTTGTGAGTATTAATTTTATTAAACACTTCAAATCACTTACTATATGCTAGGCACTTTGCTAAGCACTTTTAAAATACTAATTTTTTAATTCTCATAATGAACAGCAAAGAGATGTTAGGGAATTTAACCAGGATCCAATCGCAAGAAGTGGGAGGTGGGATTTTAATCCAGGCTGTCTGGTTCTTAACCACCAATAGTTAATTGAAATGGTTTCTGATCGCTTCCTCTTTCTTTTCTTTTCGTGTTCTTTTTTGTTTTTTATTCTTAAGAATTATTTATTTTATAATTATTAACTATTTTAGAAATTTCTTTAACGAACAGTATCTTCTTGTATTCCTAAAGTCAAACTAAAAGAACTAAGTTTAAAAACCCAAGTATTTAATAGGTGTATTTAAAATTTAAGAATTCAGAAGAAATAAAACTTGATATTTTTTATATCTGGTTGTCTTTTGACTTTTAAATTTTACTTCCTAAGGACTGAAGAATTTTAGAATCTTGTAAATGAGAAAAGGTTTCATATCATTCTTTATAATTTTATAACACTAAATTTCCCAAAATTAAATATATAGATTCCATAAAACCATAATATTTCATTGTGTCTTAGAATTTTAGATTTTGCTCTAATTTAATCTTATACTTTGTGGTGTTTTACTTAAGCCATTTTACTGCTGGAGATCTGTGCTCTGTGATCTCTGCTTCACTCTTCTTCCCACCAGAGAGAACAGCAGATCTGCTTTGTAAAGTTTGACATATAGTAATGTAGAAGTTGTGAAAATGCTTGTAAATACTTCTTTATTTAGATTGAGTTTATTTTTATTGCTGCTTCCCTATCATCTTAGTTCTCCAGTCCTACTAGCATGCATATATATGCACACACATATATGTGCATGTATATATAGTCAGTCTTGTAATGGTGTTTCCATCTGTTTTTTAGTTATTTGAATTAAATACTTTATGAATAATATATATTAAAGAAAAAAGTAATTTATTTATAATTGTAGCTGATTTTATTTAAAAACTGCTTTCCAAAAATTATCTTGGTAAAGATTATATCTTTCTATTTCATATGACAAATTTGTCTTGAAATAAGAATTCTTTTTGGGGGGGAATGAGAAATAGATAGACATGAACATTTTTAGATTAAGGTGACCTTATTAAGAAATTTGTGTAGCCTGCTATGGCTCACTTATTGTTCATACTGTTTCCTGGGGAGGGAGTGTTTTAGGGAGTTGTTCCTTCCCTTTCCTGCACCAAGAATTAACACATTATTTCCACATAGAGCAATCGGGTCACTTTGAAGATGGATGTGTCACATACAGAACATTCTCATGTAATCGGCAAAGGTGGCAACAATATTAAAAAAGTGATGGAAGAGACAGGATGTCACATCCACTTTCCAGATTCCAACAGGAATAACCAAGCAGAGAAAAGCAACCAGGTGCTTTGTCTTTTCACATGAATTTGTATGTAACAACGTTTACAATTTTCTGTGTGCGTATCTTTTTTGGGAGATGAGAGCAAAAAAGTAACCATGGAGATGACAGGTAGTGGACATTGAGAGTGCTCTGCTTCTTTAAGGGGATGAGCTGTTGACGGGCCTTCAACTCTTGATCTCTTAAATGGTTGGCTGGTAGTAGAGAGGGGAGGAAGTGATGGCAACATACTGTGAGGTCCCTAAAGGAAGGCTGGGAGAGCGTATGAATTAGGCAAGGACCTGAGGCTTGCCTAGTTTCACCCATGCTGGGGTTCTTGTGCAGCGCCCTAGGCTACCCCACCTCACCTCCTGAGAGGCAATGCTTGAGCGTCCAGCTTCCTCACATTGAATTACATCTTTCTCTGTAAAAAAATATTTTTTTGAATTACAGTTGACCTACACTACTATATTAGTTTCAGGTGTACAGGGCCCTGATTAGACATTTATATAACTTACAAAGTGCTAACCCTGATAAATCTCTTGCCATCTGGCACCACACGTAGTTATTATGATATCAGTAACTGCATTCCCTGTGCTGTACTTCACATCTCTGCAACTATTCTGTAACTACCAGTTTGTACTTCTAAATTATGTCTCTCTTTAGTTCATACACACTTTTCTTAGTTCTTATGTTTGGAAACAAATGGAACTCACCTGTCCCCTGTGAAAGCATTTTAAGTGCGTACTTGAAGAACAGATAATATTGTTCGTGTTATGTAGAAGTTCTCCCTCTTCTAAGCTAATCAGGATACCAGGAGCTGACCTGTCACAAAGGTGACCAAAGGGGACTGATGTGACAGTGGGACACATACCTGGGAACTAGACCCAGAACCGTGGTGCAAAGCAAGGTCAGTGTGTTCAGAACACTTGACCACTGGTAGACAGAAGCATGTGTTCCAAGAGCAGTGTCCTGGGGCCCCCACACATACCCTGATGCAGATTAATTCTTTAGTTGATGGACCCTGGGAAAGTCCAGGGATTCCAGGGGGCTGGAGGTGGATGTTAGAGCAACAGTTTTTACCAGCTAGCACGTGAGTATTCAGTATCTGAAGAACCTAGTGCAGCAGTATCATTGGGTACTGATACTCATCTAGTCTGCAAGGACTTTAAACAAAAGGGAGAAAATACAGTGAACGGGAAAAATTAAAAAGGAGGCAGGATGGCCTCATGGGGGCTTCAAGGTTTCAGGTAAGCCCAGGGGGTAATGTAGACCAATTGACACAAATTACCCAAGGAGCTCATTAAAATGCAGATTATGATTAAGCAGGTCTGGATTGGTGCCTGAGATCCTTTTTTTTCCCCCATTGAATTTATTAGGGTGACATCGATTCGCAAAACCATACAAGTTTCAAGTGTACAACTCAATAAAACATTGTCTGCACACTGCATCATGCACCCATCACCCTAGGCAAAGTCTATTTCCATCCCCATCCCCCCCTTTGCCTACCTCCAAGTACCCCCACCCCCTTTCCCTCTGGCTATCACCACACGGTTGTCCATGTCTGTTATGCATGTATGTTTTTTTGCTTAATCCCTTCACCTTCACTGGGTGAAAACCCAGTCCCCTCACCCGCCTCCCCTCTGACAGCTGTCAGTCTGTTTCATGCGTCCATGCCTCTGTTTGTTTTGTTTCTCAGTTTATTCTGTTCGTTAGATTCTACGTACAAGTGAAATCAAATGGTATTCATCTTTCTCTGACTGACTTATTTCAATTAGCATAGTAATCTCCAGGTCCATCCATGCTGTCACAAAAAGAAAGATTTTCTTTACAATTGAGTAATACTCCATGGTGTAAATGTACCTCAGCCTTTTTATCCACTCATCTACTGATGGGCACTTGGGCTGCTTCCAGATCTTGGCTACTGTAAATAATGCTGCAGTGAACACAGGGGTGCACATGTTCTTTCAAATTAGTGTTTTGAAAGGATATATTCCCAGAAGTGGGATCGCTGGGTCAACATGCCGTTTTTTTCCTAGAGAACCCTGTGAGTAGCAAGGATGGAGGTAACCTGAAAAGCAGATGTGGGTTCATACCTCTGACTGTGTTTCCTTATCTTTGCAGGTTTCTATAGCAGGGCAGCCGGCAGGAGTAGAGTCTGCTCGAGTTAGAATTCGGGTAACTATTTATTACTTTAATACTGGAAATCACTGTCAGCAATATTTTCCCTATAGAGATGAAAAATATTATAATTGATCAATTTATAATAAAATCATGTGTTCAGTATGTGGGATATACTGACAGAAGTTTAATGGGTTAAAGAAGTTTCTTAGAAACATTCTGGATGTTACCTGACTTAGTTTCTCTGGTGATTTTGAAATCAGAGTCCCGAGGAAAATGCCACAGGCAGTTAAAGTTGTAAACTTTCTGGTTCCATAAAAGGCTCCTTTAATTTAAGAAACTTTACATATTCTACCCAAGCTTATGCCTATAATGAAAGCAATTTATGTTTTAAAATTCGATCTTCAGAAAAGAATGAATGAACTATACATATTTCTAAATGAATGATAGTTTAACTATCTGCTTTGGGTTTTCATAATCTCATTTTAGGAGCTGCTTCCTTTGGTGCTGATGTTTGAGCTACCGATTGCTGGAATTCTTCAGCCTGTCCCGGATCCCAATTCCCCCTCCATCCAGCACATATCCCAAACCTACAACATTTCAGTGTCCTTTAAGCAGCGTTCTCGAATGTATGGTGCTACCGTCATAGTGCGAGGGTCCCAGAACAACACTAGTGCCGTGAAGGTACGTGACGGAGATAATTCCGAACATTGTGAGGGTGCATGTTATTCAGGTTGATTTTTAAAGGATTTTAGACTTGTTTGTTTTCCAGAATTTTCCCTAGTATTACATTCTGGTTCATAGAATTTGTTGTATTTTTCTGTAGCTGTTAGAAGTGCACTAGAGAACTTCTTCCCCTGTGTGTGGACAGTTACTTGACACGAATTTCTCTCCCACATTTTCTCCTAGGAGGGAACTGCCATGCTGCTGGAACATCTCGCAGGGAGCTTGGCGTCTGCTATTCCCGTGAGCACACAGCTAGATATCGCAGCTCAGCATCATCTCTTTATGATGGGTCGAAATGGAAGTAACATCAAACATATCATGCAGAGAACAGGTGCTCAGATCCACTTTCCTGATCCTAGTAATCCACAAAAGAAATCCACCGTCTACCTCCAGGGCACCATTGAGTCTGTCTGTCTTGCAAGGCAATATCTCATGGTAGGTTTAGTGACATTAGGGTCACATTTTTTTTTCCTTCTTTGGGCGCAGTGTGCGTTGCTGCACACACCTTGATAATGCGGTATTTAGGAAAGCACTCCCGGTCAAATAGGGAAGGTTCTTGGTGCAAGGAAGTAAATGAGTAAGGCATGTAGTGCCTCATGGGCCAAATTTCATTATATAGGTGAGACATTTCCTTGCAGTACTTTGCCTTTTTAAAACTTAGACTACACACAGGAGAGGTTCAAATGAAATAACTGTATTTTGAGGAAGGTGGTTATTTTCATAGGACCTATGTTGGTTTACAGTTTTCACTCAACAAAAAAAGTCTTCTGTTTAAACAAGAAAGTAAAAATACATTTTAAATATAACGCTCAAAGACAAATTTTGGTAGCATGAAATGTTTGTACATTTCATAAATCTCTGACATAATTTTAAAAATGCTGTTTGTGCTGTGAATTTTAATGCTATACATGAAGAAAAATAGCAGAGTTATATAATTCAGTACTGCTTCCAACTTATAATTTGCAATATATTTATCCTTCCTATCTTCATTTAAAAACCCAGTGTGAAGGTTGATATATAGTTTCCAAAGGAGCTGACATAATGTAGACTAACAAATATTTTTATTAAAAACACCGTAGTCGTCTTCGATTTAGAACTTGCCCTTTCGTGTGACATTTGAGTCGGTAGGCGTCAGGTATGGCCTTTGCTGTAATTAACTTGTAGAATTTGTTTTTGAGAAACTTACAAAATCCAATTTTGTGTGGTTGACTCCATTTCTCTGATAGATGAAAACTTGTTTTAATCATTAAAGAATATAATACATAATTTTATGAAATTTTGTTGTGAATGGTATTTTTTAGCCAAATTTACTTATCAAGCTATTTTTAATATACTACTAATCACATGGCATATTCCTATCCAAAGATCATTATGCTTGCTCTTCATATTTGTTTCTTGCTTTTCGAATTCTGTAGGTGTAATTTTGAGTTCAGTGAACTTTTTCGTGCTGGGGCTATCCCTGCCCAAACTATAGGTGTGCAGAGAAACATATTATTGCACAGTATTAAAAGAAGTAGGGAAGAGAGGATAGATTAAAAGGGTTTAACCTGTATTTTAAATACCATCACCTTTTTTTAATAGCCGTGTCCTTACAAAAATCACTTCTATCCACAAGAGAAATGAAACATAGTAATTTCATTTTCATTCTAGTATGGTTCATGATACCTTCTCCTGATACTTACGTACAAACCCCACCAGCCATTAGGCTAGCACTGGGCACGCTGTGTGTCTCCTTTACTCAGTTAAATTAGGGGCCTGGGAAGAAAGCATCAGAGAAAAAAACAAGCCCCAAACCCTGCAGTGCTAAATAGTGTGGTAATTAAAAGAAGAAACAATAGCAGCAATTAATTTGAGGGAGGAGGTAAAGTTTGAGCCACATCAGAAGAGAAGCAGGCTTTGGGTTGTTGAAGAAGCTGTCTGAAGAGTGCAGATGTCGGCAGAGAGTCTGTAAGAGGTAGTGAAGAGGCTGCTTGGCCTGGGGGAGGGGCTGGCACGTGGACGCACAGACCCGCAATTGCACAGGCAAAGCCAGGCCAAGGTGGAAAGATCTTTAAAGGCGGATGTGTGTTTAGATCTCATTCAGGAGAGGATAAAAGCCACCACTGTCCATCCTTGGGTGAAGGGGCAAGATGAGTGCCCTTCATGTGGTTGGGAATTTGGCATCACTCGCACAGCTGAAGTCGGGGAACAGAGTTTTCCCAGGTGGAGAGTGAGTAAAAATTCAGAACCAAAAACAAAAATGTAAGACATACACAGTTTTGTCACCCAAAAAGTAGTTCCTGCCACTCAACATTATTTTCACACAGCCCTCTGAGCTATGTGCAATAACCTAGCAAATCACTCTGCCCAGTTCGATATTGACTTGAGATGGGAAAAATACTCTCAACAGTCTTTAGTTTTTTTCTAATAGCTATTTTTGCCTTAAAAAAATAAAATCTTAAGTGTGAAGGTATGTAATTTAGCTTTAATACCTTGGTTTACTCTTTAGCTCTGTGAAATATTGCATTATTTGTAGGCATGTTTAATTATTAGATGTTTAAATGAGTAACTTTTTAACCTCCTACACTTGCTATTGTGACATTTCCTAGGGCTGTCTTCCTCTTGTGCTTATGTTTGATATGAAGGAAGAAATTGATGTCGATCCACAATTTATTGCTCAGTTGATGGAACAGCTGGATGTCTTCGTTAGTATCAAACCAAAGCCGAAACAGCCGAGCAAGGTTGGTTCAGAGTCTGGACCCAGAGAACCGTGTGTCACGTCACGTTTCCTTATATTTGCATATAACTGTGTATTTGAGCATTCATGGAACTAAATAGCCTATATAATGCATATGTCATATATCATATTTAGTTATTTTGTGCAATATAAACTTGTAATAGCATTCATTATTGATTACCATTTTCTCATGTATGTTGGTGTTTGGAGTCCATTTTTAGTGACCATTATTTTTCAATAAATATAGGAGAGAGAAAGAGAAAACCTTTTTTAACTAATTTGCAAGCTGGTAACTTTAAGCATTACTAAGCTACCAGGTAGTTGATAAGGCTAAATATTGAATGTGTACATGTCAATACAGTTCCAAAATAGTCATTTCTGAGCCACTCTGCTTGCCCTGGAAATTTAAAGAAGTCCACATCTCTTTAATAATAAGTATTTTAGTTATGAGTTACACCCAGTTCAGCCTTCCTGAAACCTTTCCCTTAAGATGCTGCAAAATTTCAGTAGTTCCATATACAGTAAAAGTTAAATGAGATAACACCAGTGATGTTGAGTGCTAGTGAGAAAGTGTGGAAACAGGAGTGGTCCGATATGAGTATTGTGTAAATTGGCACAACCACTTTGAAGAGCAATATAAGACTATCCAATCACACTAGAAGGAATGATAGCCCACCCCCCTCCCCGCAATTCCCCCTGCATTATACACTCTGAAAAAACCTCTTATTGAAGAATAAGAATGGTGTTAAAAAAAGAGCAAGTTGCATAATAATAGCATGTACTCGATGGTAATATTTATGCATGTTTTTATTACGGTAGGTAAGACACCAAAGAGTCATGCCTTCTGTTTTTAAATTTCTAAGCTGTAAGTTTTATCAAATATGCTTAATGGTATATGCACAACATATATTAGATACACTTTTTGTATATATAAACAATGTGGTATTCAATGTTCAGCTTAAGACAAACTCACACCTTCTTCAAAAGAAAACTTTAAATGAAAAAATAGCATTGATTCTAAGTGAACCCGATATGGTGAGTTTAAAGATAGAGACGAGGCCATTAGTTTTCTGCATTGTGAAGTGTCAGGCAAGCTTGACTAGGTGGGTTGGCTTAGAGTCACTAGACACCAAGACTAGACGACGGAGGTGCATAGACTTTCGAGGACTTGTGCATGTACGATGGACAGACGCAAGAAGAATTCCTGGAGCTCGGCAGGGCAGGAGCAGAAAGTCAGGGGGAAATAGATTGTAAGTGAGAACTCAGAGGCCCTGCAGCATCTGGGGGCCATTTATTTATGCCCTGCCGGTGCCCATGCTCGCTGCTGCTTCAGCTGCTTTCTCAGCCACAAATTTTCTTTATTGTTGATGGGAGGCTTTCCTCCTGGGTTCACACTTCCAATTTTCTAGATGAGTCCATTGATAAAAAAGATTTATTGTTTAGGAATTTATTTTGTTATGAGCTTTGCCATAGATATGTCATCATTGAGGAATAGTGGTACCTCAAGGTCTATTAGTTAACTAGTAGACCATAAATGTCAAATGTAAGTGACTGTTATTATGCAGTATATATACTGTAGGGAGACAAGTTTGATTTATTCTTCAAAAATGAGATAAAGTGGGGAAAGCTTTAATGTAAAGACCAGGATGTAAACGGGAGTGGGCTCTGGAGTCGGCCCGCGCTCCAGGTCGATGGCTGCCCCTACAGCTGTGCTGTGACATTGGGTACGTCCCTGGTCCTCACCCTGACATTGGGTGAATAATAATTTCCACCCCTTCATAAGGTTTTGGTGGGAATTGGAATATATTGGCAGCTGCCATCACTGTTCTTGGAACACAGGACACACCCAGTAAGTGGTAACTAGCGTTTTATGGTTTTCCCAAAAGGAAGAAACGTAGTAAGTGGTTAGAATGCACAGTTGACTTTAAAGTGGCATTAATAAATTCCCTAAGTGGAAATTCTATGACCATATTCATTTCTCACCCACCTCCCCCATTCATTGTAGACTACTTGCATGTCACTGTTTTCTTTCTCATTGTGTGTTTTCATAGTCTGTGATTGTGAAAAGTGTTGAACGAAATGCCTTAAATATGTATGAAGCAAGGAAATGTCTCCTCGGACTTGAAAGCAGTGGGGTTACCATAGCAACCAGTCCTTCCCCAGCATCGTGCCCTGCCGGCCTGGCATGTCCCAGCCTGGATATCTTAGCCTCAGCAGGCCTCGGACTCACTGGACTAGGTATAACATTTATTATTATAGCCCTCTCAGTCACTGGGGGATTGCGTATCCAGTTCCCTTTCCTTCTATTTTAAAGGCTTTGTTTTCCCCTCTTCAGGCCCTCAGGTCAGGTGAAAAGCAACAAAACTCAAATCAATCCATTTCGTTTTTTTGTTAGACTTTGTGGATTTGTTTCCCAGATTCTTCTTATTTCGGCATAAATAATCAACGTCTGACTGTTTTATTTTCGGCTGTGATTGTTCTCCTAAATTAGGAATGCCACTGAGAGGGAAGTCAGCAGGCCGACTATAATTTATGTGTTCTCTCTCTCTCTGGCGTTTGCAATATTGCCATCAGTCCCTAGAGATACAGATTATCCAGTTTGCGTTTTGGAAAGTAATTGCAGATCTGTGTGAGGAGTGTGAAGAGGGGGAGGTGAGAGCAGGCAAGGCCCCCACTCCCAGTAGGTAGGCCTGCTGTGTTCCTGAGACACAAAGGAAACCTAGCCTGCGGCCACCCAGGGAACCAGCAGACCTGTGTTCGTAGCCGAGGCAAAGCACAGGAAGATGAAAGAACATCACCATCCCAGTCTTTAGTTCTGTGAGGCAGCAGAGGCAGCCACTCAATAGCCCTGGTGATATTTATTGCCTCATAATGAAGTCCCATCTTACAGGCTGAAGTTAGTAGCTCTATGAAATTATGCTAGGTTCCCTACTTTGTTGTATGTTTTCTCAGTAGCCTTTATATAAAATGTTAATGCAATAACCAGCATATCATTCTGCCCAATTCGGTGTTGACTTAAGATAAGAAAAATACTCTCAGCAGTCTTTAATTTTTTCTAATAGCTATTCTTGCTTTTAAAAAAATAAAATCTTGTGAAAATAACATGTTTAAATAATGTGATTAGTGTACCAACTAACCTTGCTTAGGTACCATTACACCGAGGGCAAGTTTTTTTCCTGCTTGGGAAAGTCGTCCCTCCCACTGAGGGTCTGCACAGTCACACCAACACAGCTCTGCGTCTGGGAATGCCAGTCACATGACTTGGCAGGAACCGAGTTCTTGCTGCACCAGAGAGAAAAAGGAAAGTGAGCAGAGATTCATAATTACTCAATTTCCAAAATGTTTTTATGGCTCTATGTAACCTATATTACCTAATGCATTAAGGATTCCTGGAAACTTGTATAAAATCCACATTTTACTTTAGAACATATTTTAAATGCCAGAAGGAAAATTGCATTACCTAAATCAAGCATTAAATCCCTAAAACAAGGGGAAAATTTTTTTTCTCCTGAGAAAAGTTTCTGTGTGCACTGAGAGGGAGTGCAAAGAAATCACGTATGTGTTTTGACACAGAATAAAAACCGTTGCCAGTAGTCAGGCCCGTCTACAGCGGGCCAAATGGAGCCATTCTGCTGTGGGAAACATCCTCTTAGTCACTGCTAATTGTCAGTGGTTCGAAGTGTTTGTGTGAAAGCATATGAGGGCTGCGTTACGCAGGGAAATGAGCAGGATTTTGTTCATCTTGGCCAATGGAATGAGTGCAGAGCCACTGGCACTGCTCAGCAACCCTGCCGCCCACCCTCCTGGTTTGGACACACACCTGCCTTCCATTTCCTTGTCAGCATCTGTGTGTGGGTAAGCTGGGTCCTGTGTTGGCATTGTATCCTGTGGTATTTCATGTGAATATTTGAAAGAAGGTCATCTATCACTCAGGTTATATCAACGTGCATTTCAAATGGCAGTATTGGTGCCATCTGTTGTTTTAAAATCTTGGATTTATGCATATTGACTTTACATCCATTTATTACAGGTCTTTTGGGCCCCACCACCTTATCTCTGAACACTTCGACAACCCCGAACTCACTCCTGAATGCTCTTAATAGCTCAGTCAGTCCTTTGCAAAGTCCGAGTTCTGGCACTCCAAGTCCCACGTTATGGGCACCCCCACTTGCTAATACTTCAAGTGCCACAGGTCAGTATCATTTAAGTACAGCCGAAGGCATGTCTTTGTAGGTATTACCAGCACTTAAATAAAATTTACTAGTGGTTCTTGTCCTTAGGGAAAAATTACAGTACCAAGCATTCTGTAGCCTAATGAAAATTCTCTAATGTGTAAATTAGTTAAAATGATGCACAGTGAAGCAGTGAGTTTTCCATAAAAGTAACATCATCTTCAAATGTGACAAACAGATCAGGAAAGAGAGCATGGTGTGCAGGGAACAGTGGCAAAGTCACATGAAGGCCACTGATCTGAACATGAGGACATGTAGGTTCTAGCTGGAAAGGTTAGAATTGCTTGGTAGTCATATGCACGTACTGGGTCTTGCTCGTTTCTTCATCTGCACAGTGAGGAGCTTGAATTCAATGTTCTCGAGTGTCCTTCCATTTTAACTTTGTTTTGTGTAGTAATGTATAACCTACTTCCAGAGAGGTATCAAAATTGAATTCTGTTCTGAATTTGCAGCCACAAAAATGACGTTTTTTGTTGCTGCTGGAAACAACATGTGCTTGTTGATTCTGAGTTTTCCTGTCTAATGTCTGTCCTCACGAAACGTTGGTCTAGGCTTTTCTGCTGCTCCACACCTGATGATTCCGTCTACTGCCCAAGCCACGTTAACCAACATTTTGTTGTCTGGAGTACCTGCCTACGGGCACACAGCTCCATCTCCCCCTCCCGGCTTGACTCCTGTCGATGTCCATATCAGCAGTATGCAGACAGAAGGCAAGAAAATCTCTGCTTCTTTAAACGGACACGCACAGGTAATGTCCCTCAGGCAGAATAACGTGATCTGTGCTATTTGTAAGACATCAGCCACTGCTAGTAAAACTTGCAGCTGAAAAGAATTGTAGAATTGCAATCACAACTGCATGTTATTTTCTGTTATTATTTCAGTCTCCAAATATAAAATATGGTGTGATATCCACTTCCTCACTTGGAGAAAAAGTGCTGAGTGCGAACCACGGTGATCCGTCCAGACAAACGAGTGGATCTGAGCAGGCATCTCCCAAACCAAACCCCGCAGAAGGTATCTCTCGTTCTGAACTTCAGCCTGGTCCATTACTTGAATTGAGGGGGTTGTAGAAAGTCCATGCAGTGACTTTGAATTGGTTTTGCTAATGAGTTATGATTCACCCTGCCTCACATACAGAAAGACAACATCTCGAATAAAATTCCAAAGAGCATGGTAAAAGATAAACTGAAAAGCAAATAAACTTTTTACAGAAAGAATCACTTTCCCATTACATTGGAATTTCCTAAATTAAAGTGAATGTAATTGTATAGTAGGAAAGCATCAATCTACTAAATGTGTGTGTGTATATATGTATCTATGTAATTTCTTTCTAAGTAGAGTATATCTTTTTTTCTGTTCATCCTTAACAATCTCTGAAAAATAGGATCTTCTCTTCAGGTTTCATCTCAAGTTCTGAGGCGGCCTGACCTTGTTAAGGTGTCGCATCTGCAGCTGAAAGCAGCTGCGTCTGTGTCTCCCTAGTGTTGGATTCCGGTTTGTTTCCGTTGTAGGTGGTGGTTGATGGGAAGCTGGTGTTTTCATTTTCACTGTTTTCTTTTCTCTGCAGGTTGCAATGATGCTTTTGTTGAAGTAGGCATGCCTCGAAGCCCTTCCCATTCTGGGAATGCTGGTGACTTGAAACAGATGCTGGGTCCCTCCAAAGTTTCCTGTGCCAAGAGGCAGACAGTAGAACTATTGCAAGGCACCAAAAACTCCCACTTACAGTAGGTATTTTCGTCTTTAAAAGGCCTTGATGCTTTGAAGGAAATTGTATAACAGGCTAGATTTGTTGTAAGTCAGTGGAACAAAACTGGATTTGTTCAGCAATTAGTGCTGTTTGGTTTCAGTGAATTTGACCTTACCCATATCCTTTTTTTTCTTTTTTTCATTTCTCTGTGCTTTTTTTCCTTTAACAGTTTCTTTATATTGAAGAAACACTGGTTTACAAGATTATGTAACTTTCAGGTGTGCGGTATCATAATTTGACATCAGTGTATTACTGCATCGTGTTCACCGCTGAGAGTCCAGTCTCCATCTGTCCCCCACAGTTGCCCCTTTTCCCCCACTCTGCCCCTCCTCCACTCGGCTTCCCTCTGGTGGCCATAGGTCTGTTGTCTGCCTCTGTGAACGTATTTTTGTTTTTTGATGTCGTTTGTCTGTGTGGTTTGTTTCTGTATTCCACATAGGAGTGGAATGATACGGTACTTGTCTTTTTTCTCTAATTTATTCCACTTAGTGTAATACCCTCAAGGCCCATACTCGTCTCAAATGGCAGAATTTCATCTGTTATGGCTGAGTAGTATCCCATTTCAATCTTAGTGATGTTTTTGTGGGTGCAATTTTTATTAAGGAATAATAATCTGATCATTTTTACCCTTATATTTTATCTGGAGGCCTTCCCTTCTTCATGAGCCTCGGGTTTATCTCTGGGTCCTGTAAACTATCTATAGCACTGCAAAACTGCTGACGTTCTCTCTGCTCTTCAGTAGAGCAATCGGCAGGGCAATTTTCACTCTTCGATTATTGCTGCTAGGTATTTTCCGGCTGTGAATTCTTCATTTGCCTTTGAATTTCTAATTTAAACTATGGCTCCCTTGTTCCAAGGTAGTTAACTGCTAGCTTTGGTAATAAACACTTGACAATATCATGATTGCATTTATTACAAATCAGTGAATAGAAATACCTATCGTGTTATATATATATCTCTCCTGTACCATAGGTTAGTTACAAATGTGTTTTCCTTTCTTTTCTTTTTTACTGCTTTTTGTTTGTTTTTCAAATAGGCTGCCCATGTTTTTTAAAAGAAAAACAATGGAATGCTTCTATATTGAAAGGTTTTGCTCCCATCTACCTCCATTTCCCCAGTTTCCTCTAACTGTCTTATTAGTCTTCTTATACAGTTGATCCTTGAACAATGAGGAGTTAGGGGCACTGCCCCCCTGCACAGTCAAAAATCTGCATCTAACTTGGACTTACCCCAAACTTCACTGTAGCTGTCCCTTGGTATCTATGGGGGATTGATTCCAGGACCCCATGTGGGATCCACAGACTCTCAAGTGCCTTATAGGAAATGCCATAGAACAACACATACAGTTGGCCCTCTGCTTCTGCAGATTCCTAGCTGGGGATCGAAAATACTGTTTTCAATCTGTAGTTGGTTGAATCTGCAGATATAAAACCCAGGGAATATGGTGAGCCACCTGTCTATTGATTGCAAACACCTGCATGTAAGTGAACCAGTGTAGTTCACACCCATGTTGTTCAGGGTATGAACTGTGTGTCCTCATAGAGTAGAATGTCTGTGGGCAAGTATAGCATAGACACTTGTGTTTCCTCTTTTTCTTTCCAAAATCTGATTTGCTTTTATGAACTCTTTGGTGGGTTAGTTACTGTTGTTGCCATTTTGTCCAAATCTGCTTTATTTGTGTTTTTCTTTACATGGTACTAATACCCAAAATTAACATTGTTTACTATAGGTTAGATAACTGATTTTGCTTTTTCTCTATATGGAAGTGTTTGAGGTATATATCTGTTCCTTTCATCAAGTGTAGTGTGGACTTGTAGTGTGGATGGGTTCTCATCTGAATGTGTCGGCACCCTCCAGAATATCTCCCTGCCTCCAGTCTCTCATCAGCTCTGTCAGTCCTGTATTTGGTCCCAGTAATTGTTCGGAACACATGAGTCTGATCTTAGTGCACCCCAGCTGTAGACCACCAGTAGTCCGCATGGTGTGCCTCCTTTCCTCTGCTTATGCTTTTCCCTCCTGGTTGCCCTTCTTCTGGCCTTTTGCACTCGTGAACCTGCACGTGCCCTTTAAATTCCAGTTGAAATGTCTTCATTGAAACCTCTGTGAACTCTTGTCAAGCAAACAAAGTTCATTGCTCCTCCTTTTGTTTCCAATAGCCCTTCCTAAATTCCTCCAATTTTCCCAAGCACAACTTAATGAATGATAAAAGAATGAATGAATAAACCAGCTCTTTGACTAATACTGTTTATTTCCTCTGTACTAGAGCTTACATGCAGTTGGGTTTGAACTTGAAGTGCACATATAGGGCATTATCAATTCTTGTAATTCAGATAATTGGTCACCATTTTAAGAAGCATTTTTCACTCTGGCTGGGTAGCTTAGTTGTTTAGAGTCATTGTGATATGCCGTGGTTGTGGGTTTGATCCCCGGTCAGGCCACATACAAAAATCAGCCAATGAATGCATAAATAAGTGGAACAAGTTAGTGTCTCCCTCTCACACTCTTTCTCACTCTCACATTCTCTCTAATCAATCAATAAACATTTTTTAAAAGGAAGAAGCACTTTCATGCTCTTCTCATTAACCCTGAACAGGTGTTGGAAAGTATTTCTTCTTTTTCTGCCCCCTATACCAATGCAGATTTTACACACATGAATTGGATCATTGGCATGCTTTCAGATCAGCTCAGTCTTGTTTCCACTGTGTATGCATGGGCCATTGATGTCTCCTTGACGTATACTAATTTAGAAATCTGTGTGTATGTCTGCTCCGTATGTACCATTCATAATATACTGTCTATCTTGTGTATGAATATGTGCCATGAAATAGTTTCAGCTATGGCTCTTAGAGTCAGAAAGCCTGGGTTCAAATATCATTCACTAGATGATGACCTTGGATAAGGTACTTCCTTCTTCTGTAATACGGGGGCAAGAACACCACCTACCTCATAGCGGTGGAGTGGGGATTAAATGAGATAATACATGTAAATGGGTGACAGTGGTTAGCATCCAGAGTAAATGTGGCACATGGGAAACATTTGGTTCATTTGTATGTAATGCAGGGTATTCAATTCCAAACTCTGTTTCACAGCAGCACTGACAGGTTGCTCTCAGACCCTGAACTGAGTGCTGCCGAAAGCCCTTTGACTGACAAGAAGGCTCCGGGGAGTGAACGTGCTGCAGAGAGGGCCGCAGCTGCTCAGCAAAACTCCGAAAGGGCCCGCCTGGCCTCACGGCCATCGTTTGTCAACATGCAGGTAATGGTAAAACAATGGGAATGTCATCTAAATGGAGTGTGCTTGGGCTAGGGAATGGTGAATTCAGTGAGCGTAGAGCAGTAGAGGAGAAATTACGTTTTCTTTCTCCACTCTAGTCAAAATTAAATTTAAATATATATGCAGTAGTTAGGAATTGATTTTGCTATAAACTTTAAAAATGAAATGCGGGATTTAGCTTAAGTGATTAAATTATTTAAAATATAATATGAAAAATGACATAAATGGTCTGTGTCACTAAGCATTACGTAAATGACATTATTCATCAGTTGTTTTATAAAATTTGAGATAAATGTCAGCACTGTTATTTCTAAGTATTACTGCCTCATGACACAGTCTTGGATAAATAGATATAATACCCTGCTTTCTATAAAATGGAGATGATAAATCTGTTTGGTATCATTGAAGCGCCAAAAATAAAATTATAAAAATAGCTGATATGAAGCTTTAGTGTTTCGGAAAGTAGATGATAAATACTATTGATGATTATATTGGGTCACAGATTTTTGTGGTTATTTTAAACAATTTCCTCAGCAGGAATTATTTTTTCTATATCCCTTTTCAAAGTATTAGGCTAATTACTGAAAATAGGCTATTGACCATAGAATGCAGAAATCTGATTTCCATATACATTACAATATGAAAGAGAAGGGTTTTGTGCTTTGTGCTTCTAGAGATTTCTGTAAGCATTTGATTTCAGTATCAGAATTACTGGGTAGACTTACCTATCTCTTAGTAAAACATTTATCTACCATCTCCATCTCCCCACCTCCAAAAGAAGAAAAAAGTGTTGCACAAAATCCAAGAAACAAAGCTGTTACAGATCTGTCAAAGAAATTAATTCATGGAACTAAATTATACTTCTATAATTCCAGTTTATCGGTTCTTTTAATCCTTGCATTTGAACATTTCTCTGAGTTTTTAGATGAATGTTTTTACAAAAGCCATGGCCTATATAAAATGTCCTTTAGTTAAAAAAAAAGGATTTAAAGGATTTATATTTTCTTTGGTGGATTTATTTTCAGCTAATACAGATTAAAATTTTTTCATCTAGGAAGTATCAAATCTGCTTTATGATCCATTTATGGATTTCTTCCATTTTGTGGTTCTTATCTTTTCCATCAGTTTTACACCTAGAGTGAGCCATTCACCTATTCCTTTCTTTTAGGGTGGGTGAGAAATGTTCTTGATGATGATAGTCACTGAGCATTGACAGGGAGAAAGACTGAAGACTTCTCCGATTCCATCAGCTAAAATCATCTGTCTTGTCTCTGATGTTCTTGGAATGCTATGGCTCCAGCTCTTCCCACACTTACCTCACTTCCTGATTTATTTTGTAGTTATTTCTTTTACCCATCCCTGCTAAGATTCTCCATGCTTCAAGGCTGCAGACTACTTCTGACTAATCATTGTCTTCTTCCACAAAGGGCAGCCCAGTCACTAACCAGCAGCATTCAATAAATATTTACTGAGTGAGTGAACTTCAGAATCTTCCCACACCTTGCCCTTGGACATTAATCAGTAATAGTTGATCTTAACTTCCAGTGCCATTTTAGACCTAAGATTAAAAAACATCACCCAGTTGTATTCTCTAAAATCCTGGCTCTCCCAATTTACTGCCATGTTCTTAGAGTTAATGGTTTATCTGAGCCAGCCAGTTTCCTTGCATTATCCTGACCTAATTATTATTTCTGGCAGTCACTCTCAGAAGTGCCATTTCAGACGGTAAATTACCTGGGCATGCACCCTGAATATGGTGATCTAGTGCTCCCAGGGAGAGGATCAAAAGAGGTCTTGCCAGGTGGTTCTCAACCTTCCAGATAGGCCTTTAAGACATTGTTAAATCAAGTCCTAGCTGGTCCCTAAACTGGGGAGTGGAGAACTCTGGGTTAGCATTTGAGATGTAGCTGCATCTAGACTTCTTCAAAATGGCCTGGCTTGGTTTCTGTGTAGACCTGATTCCGTCATTGGTCACTTACTCACTGTGAATGAAGAGAATGGATAGTGCCCCCCTAACTCCTCTGCAATAAAAGGTAACTAGGTTTACTTTTATTGTAATGCTTAATGTTGTTATAGGTTAAAGCTAGACATTTCCCATTTATCTCGTTTCAAAAGCAAAGACTATTTCAATTAGGCTAATTTGTTAAGTTGTCTGGACATTATACCACATCAGGCCATGTACTGAAGGGGGGATTTTGAGAGAGACATGAGGCTAGTGGATAGCCTGAAAGCATTTTTGTAATGCATTGTCTTGAAACTTAGCATAATTATTATTAAGTTATTCACTATACTTTAGCATATACTTGTCCTTGTGTTTTAAATATTTATAGTAAATAGGTATTTTTTTACCTTTGAAGGAAAATGTCTAACTCTTGTCACTGTCAGTGCTTCAAAAGTAGTGATTCACTATTCTAATTAATTCATTTGCAAACATGTTTAAATTGATCAGACTTGCACTGAATTAATGGCACATCGTGGTGCAAAACTTAGCTTGTGTCCCAGGCAGATCTACGGGCTGCAGTCAGAACCTCTGTGTTCTCATCGTGGAGCATTGGCATAGCATCTGGATTAACTGGCAATAAATCTGTCTTATTTTTAGGCATTTGACTATGAACAAAAGAAGCTGTTAGCAACCAAAGGTATGTGATATGCTAATGATCTATACATTTTTCCCGTAGATGCTTAAAAGGTTTTCCAGTATTCACACTGAATTGTGAAATTGGACCTTCATTAAAAAAATGTTTAGGTTCAAAGTTGCACAAATTTATTGAGACTGAATGTATTTTATTGACTAGATTAGCATTAGATCGATTATGAGATAACATAGCATTTCAGAATTTACCATTACTTTGTATAAAATGTTTTATGAAGATACTTTAAGGCATTTTGTGTTAAGAAATAATATTAAGTTCTGATTTCTTTACATATATCAAAACAACACTCATCAGTAACCATATTAAAAATATCAAGCATTGTTTTATATTTTGTTTTCCAAAGCTATGTTAAAGAAACCAGTGGTGACAGAGGTCAGAACACCTACAAATACCTGGAGTGGCCTTGGGTTTTCTAAATCCATGCCTGCGGAAACTATCAAGGAGCTGAGAAGGGCCAACCACGTGTCCTACAAGCCTACAATGACAACCACTTTCGAGGTTTGTAGAGTCCTCCCTACACATTCTTCTGTCTTGTCTCTCAGCAAATGGGAGCTGTCATCCCTCCCCTCCCATCCTTTATTTACTTAAGGAGAAGTCATTAATGGGGATTTAATTTCTATGCTTATAAACAAATTGCTACAAAATTGATGCAGTCTAATGCAGTATATTCTTCTCTGTATCTTCTCTCAAAGTTGTTATTCATCTGTTACAGAGATGTAAATTTAGATAAAGGTGTTTTTGTTAAGGGGAGTGTCATAAATGCTAGAACAAGACTGAGATGAAGCAATGGACAGATGTAATAATATTCCACAAACTATATAAAGAATCCCTTCATCCAAGGGCATCACTAGCAAGCCCACCATAGGGGGAAAAGGCAAATATTCAATGAAAACAAGTGCTCAGATATGAGTTAAAAATCCAGTGTGTCTGATGTGCCAGGAACACAGCAGGAAGTATCACAAACAAGAGCTCCAAAATTTTATGTCTCCCAGATGTTGGCTGCCCTGCTCAGAGTGAGACTGGGAAGCTGGCATCCACACGACATGGTGAAGGGATCCAGAGTTCCTGCTTCCCAGCCAGCCAGTCTGCACGTGACTCACTCAGCAAGGCCTTCTCAGTTTCAGAGTATCAGATTTTGGCTATCGGCCTTTTGGGAGTGGGGGCAGAGGAAGAGAGCACACGCAAGCACACACAACCCTGGGGAGACTGCAGACCCAAGCATGGGCAGAAGGGATCGATCCAAGAATCACAGTGTTCAACCAGAACACAGTAGACGGCAAAACAAATACTGGGGAAGGGCTTCGTAGTCGTTAGTCTAATCACAAGCATTTGTAGATTGGCCTTCTCTTCTCTACCTGTTTTCTTTGTAATAAATTAGACTGTTGATGCAGGGTAAAAGCAAACATGTGCGTTTTTTCTTTGTCTGTCTGAGTAAGTGAAAAAGGAAATACTAGAAAGAGCAGTCTCCTGTGAATGTCATTGTCAGACCTACAGCAGCAACCTGGCAGGCTGTATGTAAAGACAAAGCTACTGTCAGCAGCTAGAGTGTAGGCACCATTATGAAATGTTGCGAGGCTCTAGGAGGTACACTCCTCTCTCTACCACTATAGTTCTGGTGGCAGAAAACATCTTCTTTTGTAGGCTGAAACCTTAAAACTGCTGTGCTAACTCTTTCATCCGAGGCACCTACAATCTCACCTTTTTCACCCACCTTTGCTTGATACAGTGTTAGGTGGCTGACTGTGTTTGTGCACTTTCAGAGATTAAATACTTCGCTGTAGAACTGCTAATTCAGTTCTGCTCTCGGAGACCAACAGTATGGTGGCTTGAAGTGATGATCATTCTGATGCTGTAGTGGTCAAGTGCAGGGGCTGTGGGGTCCGACAGCCACCACTGGTTGTGGTTTCACTCTTCGGAGCCTGTTTTCCATTTGAGTTGTTATGAGGATGGCAGGGGAGAGGGCATTCAGTGCACAGCCTGGTGAACGGCGAGTTCTGGGTGCTATTTAGCGGTCCCTGTTAGTTCCACTGGAGGAAAGGGGGCCCAGAATAGTTAAGTGTCTTACTTGAGGTCATGGCAGTAAGTGTCAAAGAAAGGACTTGAATTCATTTTACAAGATTTCCTTATACTTCTCTTCCTAGTGGTTTAACCCAAGAGGGCACACAGCAAAAGTGATACGTAAATGATCTAGGGCCACATTGCCATACCTTAGCAGGCAAAAGAGGCCCTTGGACAACTTGGTAAAAATGCAAATTCTTCCTCCAGGATCTCATTCATCAGGTAGGGAGTGGAACCAGGAATCTGCATTTTCAGCAAAAGCCTCGTACGATTCTAATTTGGCACCCTTCTCTGCCCCACTCTACAGGGACATAAACGAAGGGGAACAATGCACAAAGGGTGGCGTCAGAACCCGACTCTGCTCAGGCACTTACCCAAGGATGAGAGGACCCCTTTCTGTGCAGCAGGGGCCTGACTCGGTGGCTGAACTCCCTCTGGTGGCTTTTCTTGCTTTGTCCATCTTGGGCCTGCCTGTTGCATTGTCCTGGCTGAGGTCTGGAGGCCCAGTCCTACTGCAAGGCTGGTGGAGGGTGGGACCATTAGCTCAGTGTTCACCATGTAACCCGCATTTATTTATGGTCTCTTCAAACACCACTGACAAAGAGATAAAAATCAGGCTTTCTTTGGGAATAGTGGTCTAATTCTCCCTGGTGTGTAGGACTTGAACCTTTCTTCATGCATTGCAAATCCATGAAAGGGGGTGCGAGGGCCCCCCAGCCCTTCCATAGCATCTGATACTCTGCAGCAGTTGCTCTCTATCCTGCTAGCGCTCGGAGGGGTCAGAAACTGGGCAGTGAGTGGGGATCACTTGTTTGGGTTAGGGCATGGGGAGGACAAAGGGGGAGGGAGAAGGGCCTAGGGAAAATAGAAGTTACTTTTTACTAAAAGGTTGACCACATCTCTGCTTATAGCACTGATATTTTTAAATTATAGGGTGCTAGAAACACTGTTTGTGCTCCTTCTTTTCCAAAGAAAACAACCAAATGGATAAGTAGAATGCTGTACGAGGAAGCATGTTCAGCCAGGAGGTCCTGATGGGCATGCGCTGCTCCCCCAGTGAGCCAGGGACCGGGGCTCACGGGATTCCCTGTTCTGGGAAACTTGCTTGAGGCAAGAAGTTGGTGCTTTGAGCTCCTCATTCAGATTTCCCAGAAGCTACATTTGATCCAGTTTTAAGGCAGCTTTGAGAAATTAGCCTGTTCCAAAAGGAGCTTGAGGCTTTGTTTTGTTTTCTTCAAGGCTAAAAAATATGACCCTGTCCACTTCACATACTGTGACACCACAGGCCAAGCACAAGGCTGCTTGCACCTGCGATGGGTGTCACAGCCGCAGAACTACAGCAGGTTCAGGGGCTTCCTCTTCTCTTTGCCACTCAGACCTTAAAAGCATGAACAAAGGTCACATTCTCTGGAGCAAATAAAAACGTGCATTGGGAGTCAAAGATGGTTTTTAATTTCTCAGCACTGAGAGTAATGAGGTTGTCCAATTATTTTAAATCTTATAAATCTAAGAGTGTAGGTGAGCTTAATCAGATAACAAACTAGTAGATGTCACAAGAGTATATTTTACTTAATGTTTTTAGAAATCACTGTGTTTAGCCAAGTCTGACATAGTGTTTGAATTAAGTCAGCTTAGATCTTAAATTAATGGTTTTTTAATGCTCAGACGAGTTTAGATGCAGAATCTTTAAAATATATTCAAGTAACATACAATGATCTCATTAATGCCTCTGGTAATTACCAGTTTTGAGCATGCTGTTATTTCCCTTGCTGCACTGGGATTATCTGGTGGAAATATAATGTTAAAGATGGTTTTAATTGAAAAGCTGGGAGGGGGTTGGTCTTAGGAGTCGTCCTTTCCCTATGCCCCTTTCCAAAAGTCAGCAAATAACATTCTAGATGTAGGAAGATGTACCTATGAGATTCTGTAATTCCACAGATATTTATTAAGCAACATCTGTGCTACAGACACAATTCTAGTCATTAAAGATACATTAAAGTGCTTGATTCCAGGCTCTTGTTTTCATGAATAGAGCTTACTTTTTGGTGGGTAGAAAGAGATACAAAGCAAGTAAATAAGAATATTTAGTTAATCAAAGTACCTAATAGATATGAAACAGTCTGCTTTAGATTGGGTTGTGATAGCAAGTCTTAATGAGGTGACATTCAAGCTAAGACCTAGGTGGCAAGGAAGGGCCAGCCTTGTGAGGATCTAGGGAAGGAGTTTTGGGCCAGGGGAACAACTGGCAGGCTCATCCTTGAAGTCAGGACCATCCAGTGAATTCCTGGTGCCCAGGTGGTTAGGATGATAGAGGACTGAGATGAGGTTGGAGAGATAGGCTCAGTTATGGAGCACCTCGGCCCATTGTCAGGTACTGGAGAAGCATTGCAAGACTTAATTCAGAGGCGTGATTTGTTCTAATTTGCATTTAAAAAATCAACCTAGTTGCTTTATGGAAAATGGATTATTGGGGTGGGAGGAAAGAACAGACTCAGAATGTTCATTAAGGAGGCTATTGGTAGCAGTTGTGGAAATGGGGAGAAGTAGGTAGATTTGGGGTATATTTAGAGATGACACCAATGGATTGGACGTTGTGAGGAAAGGAGGAGTGAGGAAAACTTCACCAGCTGGGTGAATGGTAGAGTCACTTACTGAGATGTAGGAATTCTGAGAGGAGTAGGTTTGGGTGTAGCTGGTGGGGACAGGTTTACAACAATTTGATTTCAAGGACTCTGCATTTAAAATGCCTGTGAGGCAGGAGCATGGAGGTGTCCGATTGGCAGGTCCATGCACTCAATTTGAACAGAAAAGTCAAATCTGGGGGTAAAAATTTGGGAGTCATGGATTTAGTTGTAAGAGATTGAGATTACTTAATAAGAAAGTGGAGAAAGAAAGAGAGAGGGAGGGAGAGACAGGCAGGCTCCAATCAAGCACCAGGGTGACAGGACATCTGGAGGGGGAACGCGAAGGAAGATCCTACAGGGCTACAGTGAGGTCGGCAGGGGACCTGGGGCGGGTGGTGTCGTGATGCCTTGAGAAAGAGATGTTAAAGGAAGCCGTGGTCAGCTATGATTTTTATTTTGACTTGGGGGAATTCAATAATTGATATTTATTTAGACTTACAAAGAGTAAGTCTGTACTGAGGACTCTCAGAACTCTGCTGGGTACCCTCATGATGAACAAAAACATCACTGTGTGTATTGCCAAGTCCTTGGAGGCTGGAAGACAAGGACAGAGACAGGTACCACAGCTGGTTCCCGAGAATCAGCATTCGTGGCTAACCACAGTGGTTAGCAATTGAAGTTAATCATGGTGATTTACTGGATATCTTTTCCCTCCCAGCCCAGGAAACCCCCTTATTGCACAGTGCCTTATCTGGCTTTGACTGTTTACAGGGCTCATCAATGTCCCTCTCGAGGTCCAACAGTCGCGAGCACTTGGGAAGTGGGAGTGATTCTGACAACTGGAGAGACCGAAATGGAATAGGATCCACAAGTCATGGTGAATTTGCTGCTTCTATTGGCAGCCCCAAGCGCAAACAAAACAAATCAAGTGAGCTTTGATTTTTAATCGTATTTTTAGATGTAATCAGCTTGACATTTGTTTATTTGGTTAAGGGTGATGCTCAAGTAGAAAGTCAGGACTCCATACCTTCAAGTGTCTGTTGTAACTCACCTGCCACCTCTGTGAAGCCTCCCTTATTTTTCCCGGTGGAGCAGACCAGGTCATTTTCTTTTTCCACCACATTTTGTATATGCTCTTACTCTAGCACTTGTCATGATGAAGTGTAATTACAGACTTACATTATTATCTCTTCCTGTAGAATTTGAGCTCTGTGGCCAGGGACCATATTTATTCATTCAGTAAACACTAAGTGCCCACATACTGGACATTCTGTTCAGCTGTGCCTTATTTGTTATTTCTCCCCAAATATCTAAGTGTTTGACACCTAGCAGGTGCTCAGTAAATGCTTGTTGAATGAACACAAACACTCAGAAAATGCTTTTTCTCATCAGGAAAAGACAGGGGCATAAAGAAGTTGAGCAGAATGTGATCACATTTGCATGCCGGGCAATAGAAGAAAGTACTCAGTGGGTAGCAACTTAAGGTGAAAAGCAGCATTTGATATTTTACATTGACAAGATGTAACTGAATTGACATAAAGATAAAAAGAAGTGTGAAGCCTAAGATTTTGGCTTTAAATATACACGGTTAAGACTCAGCATGAGTCCAGTGCTTTTGTCTGTAACAGCACCCACACTTTTGGGCTGTATAAAGAGGTAAATAGACAAGAATTGACAATAGTTATCACAATAAATGCCTTTCTTCATGGTTTTGGACAAATTTGGAATCCTGAAATGCACAGCTGGGAGTATTTGAAGACTATGTAATAAAGAAAAGCAATCTAAATGAGCATAGTAGACACTCAGCAAGTCAGTGGTTACCATCGATTACGTTGGCCCTGTGTCAAGAGTCTCAGATTTGAAAAGACCAGTGTGGTGTCAGCCAAGTCTAAATAAGAGAACATGGTCCACTCTTTCTTTCCCAAGTGCACTTCCCACTAAAGCCTGAGCACTTCCTGTCAGCTTGGGCTGGAACCTCCGTCACTGACAGGAGGACGGAGCTGAGAGGCAGGCTGCTGGCAGGTGCAGGTCTGGGGTGAAAACGATCTCCGTTCTGTACCCCAGCATACAACAGTTTTGTGCCTCTCCTTTTCCATCTTTCTCTCCTTTCCTTTCATTTAATGCTGGATCATTAAAATTGACTGTAAGCTTAGTTGCACTGAAGTTCAGGATTAGGGTTAAAATACAGGGATTCATAATTAATAAAAAGGAATCATTAAAGAATCACAGTTATTTTGCTTTTGTCGTATGTTTTAAGAAAGTGGGGGTTTTAAAGAGAATATAGAATCTATAAGTAGTTAAAATGAAATGTAAAGAAAGTTATGTACCGTAATCAATATCACTAAGAATATTTTTGCACATTTTTTCAAATTTTAATGTATTTGCTTAGCATGCTACATGCAAAATATTATTTAATCGTGTAATCTATATAAAGACATGTTAATGCAATATTTTACTTTTTTGTACTAAGTCTTTAAAATATGGTATGTATTTCATTTGTAGGACATTTTAATTGCTAATAGTCACATATGGCCAATGGCTATTATACTAAACAGCACAGTTGTAAATTTTTTACACCCTTGTCAACATTACCAATGTCCGGGTTTTCCCCAGACATCCTTGCTTATACCAGTTGTTCCAGTGTTAATTTTTAATAATTTCCACCTTCACTCTCAAAAAAGTAAGTTTATTATTCGGATAATGAGTTATACGGTCAGCCTGCCACGCCGTCAAGTCCTGTGGTTCCTCCCATGAGTTCATCATGTCCTGCTCTGCCTCCCCCTTGACCCAGTACCTCACTGGGCCCTCCTCAATGTTTTTTTTTAATGACATGGGGGCCTTACCTTCCATTGGTGGAGTGGTCCAGGGCTGCAGGCCTTCGGAGCTTGGTCCTGGAACCTTGCCTCTACACATTGCCTCCACAAGAGATGAAACATCTATTTATAAGAGAAAGAGAACCTTATCAAGAAATTCCTTGCACTTATGATATATGAAGGACCTCTCAATTGGGAGTTGAAAACTGAAGAAAGTAAATGGTGGCACCTAAAACAATGCAGAATGCAATTCTTAGATTTGGTGACTGCATTGATCCCAGAGGAGATTAGATGGATCTGATTGGCTATTGGAGTGTCCTCTTTCCTTCCTCATCCTCTCCCTGGGAATCCCTTGTGAAGCTGCAGCTTTAGTATAAGAGGATCAAATTCCCACATGGACAAGAAGAGCCAGTGGTTGGCTGGGGATGTGGGAGTGGCTGCACAGCTCTGCCGGAATCTCCAAAACAGATCTTGAAGAGTGTTTCAGTATTTGGTCAAGTGCTTGGCATGGCTCACTGGTCCACCACCCAGCTGTGCAGCCTCTGTGCCTGAGAGCCATAGTGTGGAGAAATCTTTGCCCGACAGATCTGTTGCAGAGCCAGGGCCAAGCTCAGCATTGCTGTCTTAGGATTTTTCTCAGGAGACAGATTTCTTTCTTTCATAAATTGAATCCAGGAACTCCAACATCATTCTTATCTTACTTCATGGTACTCTTAATTTTGAAAGCGCTCTTTTTGTGAGCCTACGGCCTAGTTGTATTTTTGTAGGGAAGGAGATTTATATGGTGCACTATCGTAGAATTCCTCTGACCCCAGGTGAGCACAAATGTGGAGACAGAGAGCCATCTGGCCATCCATATGGAGCCTGGACCTACAGTAACTTCCATGCCTTTATTGTTTCTAAAGGACCTTCCTCCCAATTCCTTTTAATTCATATGCAATCAGTTATAAAGAGCAAATGTTTCTGAATGCTCCAGGTGAAAATGATTAATGATTATTAACTGCAGCTGCACTGTTGCTAAATTGCTGCCTCGCAAGTGTAACCTTTTAAATGGCAAGAGTCACTCAGAAAGCAATAGCCAGCATTTCCTTAGTAAAAAGCCAACGTTTCATTCAGTAAAGGATTGCTTTATTTCTGCAGCTACTGTTCTGTTCATCCCAACAATGAAATTGAAATATTTGAGTGATTAAAACTTTTAATTAAACCTTGTTCTCTGTGGGCATTTGCACTTCAAGCCTGTCTCTTATTTGCCCTTCAGCGGAACACTATCTCAGCAGTAGCAATTACATGGACTGCATTTCCTCGCTGACAGGAAGCAATGGCTGTAACCTAAACAGCTCTTTCAAAGGCTCCGACCTTCCTGAGCTCTTCAGCAAACTGGGTCTGGGCAAATACACAGACGTCTTCCAGCAACAAGAGGTTAGTCACTCTTTCTTTGTTTTTTCTCGGGTTTGTTTGGGTTGTGTGTATGACGACTTCTAGAATGAAATCACTCATTGACCTATGACTGTGCTTTCACTGAGCATTCTTTCAAGTCCCATAGCCTGCTTTTGCTGCTAGGAAAAATGTGATCTCATTTCCTGTTTATTTAGTGCGACTAGTAAACACGGGATAGCAGCAATACAGGAAATAGTGTTGACATAAACACACCTTCAGCAGTTTCGCTAAAAGACCTATTTATAGCAACTTTTTTAAAAAATGTTTTATTGATTATGTTATTAGTTGTCCCATTTTCCCCCCTTGTGTTCCCCTCTGCCATGCATCCCCCGCCTTAGTTCATGTCCATGAGTCAGACATACACGTTTTTTGGCTTCCTCGTTTCTTATACTGTTCTTACCCTCCCCCTGTCTATTTTGTACCTACTGTTTCTGCTTCTTATTCCCTGTACCTTTTTCCCCATTTCCCTGCCTCCCATTCACTGCTGATCACCCTCCATGTGAACTCCATTTCTGATTCTGTTCCTATTATAGCTGTTTGCTTAGTTTTTTTGTTTTTGTTTTTTAGGTTCAGTTGTTGATAGTTGTCAGTTTGTTGTCATTTTACTGTTCATATTTTTGATTATCTTCTTTTTCTCAGATAAGTTCCTTTAACATTTCATATAATAGGGGCTTGGTGATGATGCTCTCCTTTAACTTAACCTTATCTAGGAAACACTTTATTTGCCCTTCCATTCTAAAGGATAGCTTTGCTGGATAGAGCAATCTTGGATGTAGGTCCTTGCCTTCCATGACTTGGAATAGTACTTTCCCGCCCCTTCTTGCCTGTAAGGTCTCTTTTGAGAAATCAGCTGATAGGCTTATGGGAACTCCTTTGTAGGTAATTGTCTCCTTTCCTTTTGGTGCTTTTAAGACTCTCCTTCTCTTTAATTTTGGATAATGTAATTATAATGTGCCTGGTTGTGTGCTTCCTTGGGTCCAACTTCTTCTGGTCCCTCAGTTTCCTGGACATCCTAGAAGTCTATTTTCTTTGCCAGATTGGGAAAGTTCTTCTTCATTATGTTTTGAAATAAGTTTTAATTTCTTGGTCTTTCTCTTCTTCTGGTACCCCTATGATTCAGATGTTGGAACATTTAAAGTTGTCCCGGAGGTTACTAAGCCTCTGATATTTTTGAATTCTTGTTTCTTCATTCTCTTCTGGTTGAATGTGTATTTCTTCTTTCTGGTCCAGATTGTTGATTTGAGTCCTGGTTTCCTTCCCTTCACTATTGGTTCCCTGTATATTTTCTTTTATTTCACTTTACATAATCTTCACTTCTTCCTTTATTTTGTTACAATACTCAACCATTTCTGTAAACATCCTGATTACCAGTGTTTTGAACTCAGCATCTGGTAGGTTGGCTATCTCTTCATTGCTTAGTTCTATTTTAGGAGCTTTGATCTGTTCTTTCATTTAGGCCATATTTTTTTGTGTCTCGGCGCACCTGTTACATAGTAAGGGGTGGAGCTTTATGTATTTGCCAGATGGGGCAACCCACATTGCTGTGTTGTGGCCCTGTCTGTAAGGGAGGGGTCAGAGAGGGAGCAATACCACTTGCTCAGCTCTCTGGTGGCTTTCAGTCACTTCTCCCATTACCCACAAGAAAATTGGGCCATTCTGGTGTTGATTTCTGGGTGGATGGGTTTGTGTACATTCTAGGACCCTGTGGGTCTCTCCAGCAGACTCTCCTGTGAGGCTGGAAGTTTCTCCTGCCTCTGCAATCCCCACAGGTTTTTACTGCCAGAGGTTTTGAGGCTTCATTTCCCTGCTCTGGAGCCCTGGGTTTCACTGTCTCTCTTGCTCCCAGTTGTTCCTCCTGGTTTCTCCACATGCAAATGTGGGATCACTGGGTCTGCCAGCCACCACCTCACCTGCCTGGTCCTCTTGCCACCGCCTTGCCTCACATCCTCTCTGCCCCAGCTGCCTGTCTCTGCCCCTCCTACCAGTCTGAATGAATGTTTTTTCTTTAACTCCTTGGTTGTTGGATTTCTATACAGTTTGAACTTCTGGCAGTTCTGGTTGTTTTGTGTTTTTAAATTGGTTGTTGTCCTTCTTTTGGTTGGGCAAAGAGATAAAGTATATCTATCTACACCTCCATCTTGGCTAGAAGTCTGCTCTTCACAGGAACTTTTAATTTATAGCTCTATTAAGGTGATTTATAGCTCTATTAAGGTCAGCAACAAGTATATCTGATATGATTTCACTATTTATAGCACTTAAAAGTAAATAACAGTATCAGAAATAAGTGTATAGTTATTTTGACCCTATCCTAGTTTTGTTACTAAAGTCTGTTCTTAGAGAATATAATGCACTCTTTATACATGTTAATTTATTAATATACTGTTTGGGTTTTGCCCAAACTGAGACAGAACTAAGGTGCCTCTGAACCATTGTTACTGGTGAGATGAGACCTCAGTTTTTGTCTTCTTGAAGGAAAGATTGCAGTCAAGAGACAAGGTGCAGCCAAGCAAGAATTTATTGGCCACAGCAAAAGCGCACTCGGGACTGTGAAACAAGGAAGGGCTTAGCAGAGAAGACACAACAGGAGAGCCCAGGCTGGGCTGCTTTTCTGGGCCTGGGGCTGAAATGTAACTGAGGCCTAGATGTTATCTCTCAGAAGGGAAGGTCAGAGGGTCCCAGCTGCAGGACCAGCGATATGCTAGGGAGGAAGGGTTACCCTGGGGGTGAGGTCCTTGCTTTTGCCAGTTTGGCCTCCCCTTTCAAGGCACCCAGGGCTTTCTACCTGGTGACCTTCTGTACTTGACCCATCGGCCTTGCTCTGCTCATGACTGTTAACTCTCCGCAACAATTCCTAATGTGGATTTTGGTCTAACTGATCAGCCATGGCCATTACACACTGGCATAAAGGACAGAGCTTGGTTCTTTCTAATAATGTTGTCATTGTACCAGGGCACAGCTAACCCAATGCAACAGGAAGTTGGAATAGCTCTTTCTATAAATGTATCTATTTGATCCAGTTTTGGCTTTATTTTATCTTAAAGAATAGCTAATTAAGGTAGGCATTAGTGAATGAAGAATCTAGAATTTTTATTAGGCATTTTGTATCATAAACTTAAGGTATTTCCCATGGCTCAATAACTTAAGTTTGATTGCTGAACTTTTTTGCTTTTTTAATACCCCCCAAAAAGGTATTATGTATATATTGGATCTTAGGGTATTTTGTTTTCTTTTCCCTACATCAAAATCAGTGTTCATTTAATTAAGGATTTTGTAAGTTGAATAACATTTTCATCTCCAACACATCAAGGAACTGCAGTATTTAATCTTTTACTTAGTTTTGCTGGTTAGATGAGGGTAGCTGATTGAGAAGTTCAAGGGCAGAAGTATTTTAACTTGCCCAGAAACAGAAGGTCTCCATGTAAGTGATTAGATATTATTCAGTAATATTCTGGGTTTATTTTCTACTAGAAGAAGTATAGAAATAAATTTATTGTAGGTGCTTCTCATCCAGTGATTTCCAAAAGAAAGAAAATGTAATACAAAGCCAGGGAGGCTTTACCTAATATTAACTAGAGCAGGGGTCAGCGGACTACAGCCTATGGACCTTCTACCTGACTTTGTAAACAGAATCTTATTGGAGCACAGCTACACTTACTCATTTACATATTGTCTATGGTTGCTTTTGAGTTAAAACAGTGGAGTTGAGTAGTAGCAGCAACAGAGACAATGTGGCCCACAAAGTCTAAAATATTTACTGTCTGGTCCTTTAAGAGGAGTTTGGGGATGCCTGAAATAGCCTCCATTAAATAGAATGTATAAAATCATAGCTTTAGACCTATGATAAATGATAACTATGGTAAGTGATAAAAAGGTTTTATAAGATCTGGATGTAACTTCTAAATCAAAACAAAATTTCAAAATAAGTTCTTATAACTGAATGAAAAGCATATTTTATTCTTTTTGGATGTGTTGAAATTTGGTACTGCTTCCTTCATTTAGGGTATTTTCTAATATTCAGATGTGACTTAATAAGAATCCCCCAGCATGTAACCTTATGAGATTTATTTTAAACAGGTTGAAGACTTATTTAGTAACCTTCTCCAGATATATCTATATGTATTATTATTAGTCACTGCTGCCCATTATTTTACCCTCTTGGTGAGCCTATTGCTTTATATTTACAATCATTTAATACCCACACTGGCCCTGCAGGGTACACTATTGTCAACCTGTGTGCACACAGTATTGAGAGTCAGAATCTGAGCCCATGTCTGTCTGGCTTAGAGCCCATTGCCTTTCTGTATTTCCACACTGTCTTCAAGGGAAGGGTGGGATCCTCAGGCTGCTTCCCTCCACACGTTGTTGCCGGTGCCAAAGAGTACAATTATACTGTTCCTGGAAACATGCTCATGTGCCACTTTCTGATGATCTGCCAGGCTCAGCCAAGTGGATCATGGGTCTGGTGTAGTCTGGGAGTTCTTCTGTCATTCTTATGTATAACACAGTGGGAGATGTCTGTGGTATTTGTTATTCAGTTTCTCTTTATAGAAACATACTTGACCAATTCAGAATTCAAAAGTAAGAACTATTTTCTCTCTCCTGGACAGATATGCATTCTTCCTTTTATCAGTTGACAAAAAAATGTGCAATTTGTACTTCCCTTTCTTATCTTGGCTGCCAGGTTGCTCAGACCTAGGTTTTATCTCAGGTGCAGTAAATCACACTGGCTTAGATGAAGTCTTCAGCTAGAATAAACACTTTTATTTCATCACCTTAATTACTTAGCTCTTGTCCCTTAGGTTTGTGACACCACTGTTCTTTTCTGGAAGCAGGCAGAGCATTAATAAAATAGGTGTAACAACTGAGCTGAACCTACAGTGAGGTAGAAAATAAGTCTTTATTATGTTGGTCAAAAATTACTTTTTCACCCACAGATCGACCTGCAGACATTCCTCACTCTCACAGATCAGGATCTGAAGGAGCTGGGAATTACTACTTTCGGTGCCAGGAGGAAAATGCTGCTCGCAATCTCAGGTGAATATAAATAATACTTATCTTTGAAATCTGAATAACCTCTGCCAGCGGTCTCAGCCCCTGGGGCTGGTTGTGCCCATTCACCGTTTGCTTATTGCCCTGGCACCTTGGTGCTTATGGCTTCAGAGTGTTTTCCCACAAACAGTGTGACAAATGCTGAGAACATCCCCACTATTTCATCAAGACATTGCCTGAAAACCTTCCATGACAGTGTCATTCCTTAAACAGCTTTCTTCAGCAAGATCTAACCAAAATTGCCCTTTGCAGAACATGAGATTGGGGAGCAGTTCAATTCTCCTTTTCCTGTGGTTGTGTGCATCAGTAAGCATTGGGTTAGTGAATAATTACTCTGGATTGGCTGTTATGTTTCAAGTGCATGTGTCCTTGTATACCAACTGAGGTCATTGCACCGGTAGAGAAGAGAATGTTCCTTGGTATAGCTGGAACTTGGCAGTATTGCGTGTCTTAATGCTTTATTTTTTCCTAAAGTTTTAGTAGAACTAGTGAGTCACAGAAGGGTGTAGGATCCTCAAAGTAGTCACAGAATGAAGGAAAATAATGGTGTCTCCCAGACTGCCTCCTGTGCACATTGGTTTTATATTCTATGTATTGCAGAGTGCTCTATACATATTTATGGGGTACCTCCTGTTTGAATGGAATTGAGCCAGATGATGAGTCAGGGGTTGGCAAATACATAATAGTGTCCCTGCAACAGGTATTTAGAGAAATATGAGGAAGCAATTTGGGGTCAAAAAATGGGATTACTTTTTGAAGGCCTTCTGATGAAGTCATGAGTGTCAATTATACATACGTGTGCCAGTCTTTCAAAAAGAGAGAGACCCCAAGAGCAGAAGCCAAGTGTCAGGGGCAGTGAGAAAATGACGTGGCTTTTTCAGAATACTGAAGTTGCAGGCTGTGCTTGGTGAGGTTAGCAGTAGCGTCCAGCTGGGGAAAGTCCTTTGCAAACAGCATTCACTAATCAGATCAGCAAATAAAATGTAAACCTCAGTGGTTTTCCATTTCAAGTAGCAGATTGCATCCCCTACCCACTTCCCTACAGGAAACTTATCTAGAGACCTAATGTCTGAAGCAGACATAAGCAGAGCAGCTTTGAAAGAGGGGTGGGAATTCAGCCATCGAGCAGCTTGTTAGGTTCCTCTGTGGATAAATATGGTTCTGCACACATCAGTTGGTGAAGTCTTCCTCCACCCTGTGTACCCAAGCAGCTGCATAAATGGAGCTCCAAAGGGCGGACGCTTTTTCTTCTTCACTCATAAGATCAGCTTGATATAGTGCAAAGGACACAGTGTTCAAACAAGGAGATTTGGGCTTTGCCTCTGACAGCTCAGGAGTCCTTGGGTGAGTTTCCAAACCACAAAGGTGGATTGGAATAGATGGTCGTGTGAGGTTACCCTCTATTTCTTCGTCTGTCTTTCCACGTGCTATACCATCAGTTTTTACAGCATACGTTTTTCAGGGGCCTCCCACAGTTTTTTCTTTTTTACTGTGCATGGCAATTAGGATAGTTTAACTTGTTTACCCTATAACTCAGCCTTAGAGGGCTGTTCCTAGAACCAAATTAACTTTACGTATTGTCATATTCTTTTATTAATTTGAAAATGATATTTATATTCCTTGAAATTTTATTAATGCACATAATCTCCATACCTATATTATTAAAATAGGCCTGTAGACCAGCACATTTATCCCAGAGAAGTGTATGTTCTAGAACTCCATAATCTTTCACTAGAGATCCATGGAATGCCAGTGACAGTGTAATGAAAACTAAGTCCTTTCTTTGTGCACCAACCCAATTTCAAACTCCGTAAGCCTTCCAGCGACAAGCAGATACATCTAAACACTTTCATAGGTGCCAGATGGATGGTTAGGATCTTTACTTGGAACACATTTGTGATATATTCCATGTGTGTTTGGAATCTTTTTTAAAAAAAAATATTTTCTCCAATCCTCATCTTCATTGTAGGTCTGTTGAGGTTATATATTCTACCTCTACAGCTAGCCTCTCTCAGTGGGATGCACAGGTCCTTGTTTATCAAGGGAAGATTTTGAATAAGATGCCTTATGAATGCTCTGCCCAGCAAGAAGTATTTGATTATTTTAATGATTTCACTTTACTTTGTTGAGTGCATTTGTTTGAACCTAGGGAATTGTTTTCTGTGCGAGTTTTTATCAAGAAGCCCTTTATTCAAAAAGCTTCTTTTCCCAATTCAGCTCATGAGAAATACATCCATTTATAGTCTCAGAGCAGTCCGTTTCCAGAGAGGTGCGAGACAGCTGGGCAGCCTCAACTCACGTTTGTCCTGTGGGTACATAGTTTAGCTAGATACAGATTTTGCTCCTACTTTTAAAAATTTTGTGGAGTTTTATTTTTACTTATAATCAGAGTTCTTTCAGTGTAAGAGTTGGTTCTTCTTAAAATTTGGGGCCAGAAGACTTTTAGTGTTACAGGAGGAGATGAGCGTTGTCTGTGGTAGAAATGAATCAAAAATTTTTTTTTCAAATCCATGGTTTTTGGAGTTTTCAAAAATTTCTCTGAGTATTTGAGTAAGTAACTAAATGCACAGGGCCTAGGTGAAGGAAATTTAGCATCCTTTTGGCAGGCTTCCCGCCACAGCCTCAGGTAGATCTAACATTTCCCGACCTGTTCTTTTAGTTTGTGACTCTGTTCAGATCCGCAACAAGATCCTGAGAGCTGCCAGGATTGTGTGAGCCTTGGAATTTCAAAGGAAAAGGTTGGTATTTTCCCAAACTATCCTTTAGGTTTACTGAAAAAAAAAAAAAATCAGAGGAGGGAGTTTGATTTTTAACGTAAAAAACAACAACAAAAAAGTGAATTCCCCGCAGAAGGACTTGGTCCTTGATAATCTCCCTAGAAGATTAGCTCTGCTTCACATTTGGAACTATGTAATTTAGAAATTCCATTTTTTTATGGAATGCCTTCATGATCATTTTTATTTCTCTCAAAAATCTCGTTGACATGACTTTTCAGAATAAAGTTTTCAATGTCTGTTAAAAAATGTGTCTTCTCTGATGGCCCGAGGGTTTTTGTGTGCTCAGTCGGTCGTGCTCTGTGCGGTAGGGGAGGACAGCGTTTGACCTCAGTCATTCTTTTCCTTCTCTGGAGTATGGGGATGCATGTGCTGATGTGCGGGTTATTTGCCCATGAGAAAATGAAGGCCAAAGAACATGTTTTACCGTGAAGGTGATTAAACTTTCCCAGGCTGTGTACTTGAGAGGATTCATTTATTCTTAACTCTCCTACAATTGCCTTTAAATATATTAAATTGTCTTGATTTCTGAATTTTTTAAAAATAAGATACATGTTCATCTTTTACTAGGCATGTCATCGCTACGTGTTTCTGCAGGAACTTGAAACAATAGCCAATCTTACAAGCATGTCTGCATGTTTTAAGCTCCAATTTTCTATTAAAAAAAAATAGAAAACTGGGAAGTAAAACACTGCTATTTGGCATACATGGAACTACCAGTTCCTCACATTTGTATTCCTGATGCTCTGATTGGTCTTCTCCACACAGTGGATGGATCTCTGCAGCCCAGGGCAGGCCCTTTGCGTCAGGCAAGATTATAGCTTGTGTGGACAGCTGACTTTGGCTCTTTTTAGAACTCAATTTCTTTATCTATAAAATGGAGACCAGTAAAATTATCTACCCCTTAAGGAGCACTTAAATAGAACAAAACAAATGTAAAGTGCTTGTCAAATAATGAGCTCTAATAAATCACTATTATTTGTTTCTCCCATAAGACCTAAATGTGAACAAAAGAGCAATGTCTCCATTCTTGCATCGCTGCTGTGGGGCAGGCATTTTTATTTTGCAAGGCAGGGAGATGAAACATTAAGGGTGTTGGTCCATTTTCCAGAACTTAGGAGCCCTTCTGTCCACACAGCTGTCCCTGGCCCCCTGTGACCCCTGCAGCCTGAGGCTGTGTTCCTAGTCTCAGCGTTGCTGGAGCAGGCCCGAGCTGGCAGTGCGGCTTCAGAATTTCAGAAGGGATTGTACATGGGTGAGAAAGTGCCAAGTACTGTGCCAATATAAGGCGCTGCATAACTGGCACCACCCTGCTCAAAAAAAGAAAAGAAAAAGACAACTTTAAGCACATTCATTATATCTTACCTCTTTGAAATTGAGTGAGTTTGGTGGCTATCAGAACCCTAATTTCTAGAGTCTTCCAGAGTTTGACCGTTCTGCGTCCTTGTGTGAGTCCCATCAGCTGGTTGAGGATTTATACTTGTGTGTGGCAGTGGGAATTGAGTGGTTGCATAGTTGTAACCAAGGTAGGCTGCCTCAATTAATTTTTACTTGGAAAAAGACAAATTAAACTGTTTTTTCTAAGTACTCTGGTTTCATTGAAATTGTACTCTGGTTTCATTGAAATTGAGCATCTTGGGTTTTCCTTGAAATTTTAGATTCACGTATTGGTTGTTTTCAGTTGTATTTATTTCCTCAGGGTTGCTGTTTTTACCAAGTTAATTTTTTATTCAAGGAAACCTTCTGCTGATACGCTTCTTCACACAGCTCTCCCGACTCGAGGTGCACAGGCCTCTGGAGCCGGTGGAGCGGCAGCTGAACGTCACTGTGCTCCTCCATTCTTCTCGTATTGAGTGGGGGGGGGGGGTCTTTTCGTGTGTGACTTTATAATTTAATGCCTGCTGTATTTGACATGGGTGAGCTTGACAGCTATAATAATGTTCTGTGCCGTTGGTAATTCATCCTCTCATGCCTTGCACCGGCGTTGAGGGCCCCTCTCCTTTTGCCTCTGAAATGACATTTGTCGATGGGTCAAACTGTTTAATTCGTATATCTAGAGTTTGGAGGGTTCTGAGAGGGACATATCCCCTATAAACTGCAATAAAAACTATTTGTTGTCATCGGTCCTCTCAGTTAACAACATGTTGTCTTTAAAATCAGACTTTCGAGCATTTCAGAAATGTCTTGACTGTTAACTAAAGATTTTCCTCTGGCTACCAGACTTGACCCCCTCCCCACCCAAAACCTACAGTGTCATCATTTTCCCAGCTCTACTGCTCTGTTCTGTCATTTATAGAAGTTTTCCGCTGAGCTTCTAACAGTTCTCTCTTTCTCTCTCTAGAACTAAATAAAAACCGAAGAAAGCTTTTTGAACCGCCAAACGCACGCACCACTTTCCTGGAAGGCGGGGCCAGTGGGAGGCTGCCCCGGCAGTACCACTCGGACATCGCTAGTGTCAGTGGCCGCTGGTAGCAGCGGCACTTTCCAGGCGCACACCTGCCAACTCCCTTGTCACGTTGGACGCAGGAAATCTGTGAATGGCCTTCGCTGCACCCCGTCCTTAGCACTCTGGTGTCTGGTATCAGGACCAAAGCATCTTATTCACACCTGAATTTTGTGCCCAAAAGGAAGAAAAGAGAAGATGTTTTTATGCCATCATACAGATCACCACACACGGATTACTTTTTTTATAAAATGGTAATTGGACAGAATTTGCAATATGGGGGTAGGGCTTTATTTCCTGTTTTTATTGACCTATATAATAACATATGCACTGATTTTTTTTTACCTAAAATGAAGGATGATTTGACATCTGGGATGCCAGAAAACATTGAAGTTATTGTTTGCTTGTTTTGGTATTTGGGGATTTTTTTTTAAATAATCAAAATGGAATTTTCTGGTACTGCTTTAAAATGAGTATTGATGTCTTTCAGCACTTTACACTTTCTGACTTCTTGTCCTGTGGAAATTATCTCTTTCTCTCATTTTTATGTTACCTGATGTAATGGTACAGATCAGAGTTAGTCTCATTTTTCTGACTGCGTTAAATCTTTATTTGAAATGGTACTGGATTATTAGTTTTTGTGCAGAATGTTCTGGACCAGTTCTGTTCATTTATGTCAGCATCCTAGAAACAATTAGCAGTGAACCTAGTTCACAGTAACAGATGCAAAGGAAGACCAAATGGACTTTGCAATATTAACCCTTTGCAGTTATCATATTTAGCTGCTGCCTATATTGCTAAAAATGATTTTCATGGTTGTCTAAAGGCAAAGGGCTATTTTTAGTATACTGGCACTAAAGGACACTTATTTATATCAAACTTTTTATTTTTAGATACTATAAGCATACAGTACATTGATTAAATTGATATCTACTAGAGATTTATGGTAGAGAATGGACGGCATTCAATAACTGACTGGAGCCCTAGATCGTCACTTTATTTAAAAAAGACAAATAATCATCTGACAAGACTGCACCGTTGCCATTAGGAAGAAAAGTAGATTACTGTTCTTATCATGTACGATTAGCTGCGTTCCACACGATCAGAGGGCTGCCCTCAAACCATGCGTGTCTGCTTGAAGTAGACTCGTGTTTGTTGAGAACAGAAAGGCTTTATTTCAGTCTCTAGGGTGACAGTTTATGAAGACAGCAGAGTTCTGAAGTAGGGGGAAAAGGACTATTTTCTAAGTGGCTAGACTCATGGTTAAAATCTTATACTGTGAAAGTTCAAGTAATCGGGCTACATTGTTTCCTAGGTCTTTTCAGACATCTTCTTGTGGATTTATGAAGGGTTTCCAATTTATGAAGAAAATCACTAAGTGCCTCTCTTTCTTCAAAGCAATCTTATTTCCAAATGTATTAATTTGTTGGAAAACTTTCCCATAGGAAATGTTGTGAATTACTTGTACTGTAATGACTTATTTATGCTCATTCTTTAAGACTTTTTACATGGACATAAACCACTGTTGCATGCTCTTAGCAGAAGGCATTCGGTAAGCATACATAACAACTGGGGACTTTCATACAAATGCCAAATCAGAAACACCTGCCTGACATTTTTCCATGGCTAAGTCTTACCGTGAAAGAACAAGAACGGAAAAGAAATTTTGCACACATAAAAATTTTCACTTTAAAAAATTGTATTGGTTACTTTGAAGGCATAGATAATGGCCCTGTCATAAAATGATCAATTATAATGGCACTAAGCAGATATCCATTCCTAAACTGTATCTGCTTTTAAGGATGTAGAACTAAATTTGTCCCTTTGCAAGTGCAGCGGGGTCACCCTGTGCACATCACATGCACCCTCCTCACGTGGAGCTCCCCATCCTGTGTGGCTGCTGCACCGACACATCGTGCTACCCGTGCAGCACAGGAATTCTGGGTCGGCTTTCCGTTCAGCTACTCAGTTCTCTAAAATTTATTGTTTCTTTACTAAGACTTTCCCAAATAAAAGTCATTTGGAGCTCTTTTCCCAGCTGTCTATCAAGCATTTGAAACACAAGGGAGATGGAATGAATTTGCAGTATTAACGGAGGTTTTATGAACAGTGCTTTACGCCAAAGGGAAAATTGTCCCAATTAAACTAGATTAAATAGGATGTTCAAAAGTAAAAAAAAAAACAAAACAAAAAAAACACTGGAAATTACTTTTTTCACTTTCTGTTGAGGCAAGGAAGGGAATATGACACTACAGTATACAGCGTTGTCAGCGTTATATGATGCACAAAATATTTGGATTATTTGAATAAATGGTAGTTTTTAATCAATCTGTGCCTTAATAGTGACCAATTATCTGTAAATATAGAACAGATGCAGATTGTATTTTTGTGTGGGTTTTTGTCCTTTTAGTAATTTTTTAAAGAAAGATGGAATTAAACATTGAAAATGGGAATTTTTCTAAACTAATCAATTGTTATATGAAAAATAAATTTATATAACCCCTTTGTATTGCCCTTGCTAGATGAAATGCCTTTTTTGAAAAAAAAAAAAATTACACAAATTCTATACCTGTCTTTGTTTTCTAAGAAAAAAATTGTTTTGTTGTTGTGGCTATTTTCAGCAGAATTGAAAGATGTTTTTGCCGTAGACAGAATATGTACTCTTTGTCCTGTTGATTCGCATTGACAGTCCTCATTTCACCCAGAAGCTCAGGTGCTTTATTTTAGCCGGTGGATCCAGGGCCTATGATCAATCACTGCTTCCATGGCCACTCATAGGTACACACAAAAAGTCACATTATGGAACAGATTACATTCTTGTTCTTTCTTTTACAAAGGCTCAAATGTATGACCACCTTGACAACCTCATCCCTCAGCAGAGGTGCTCCTTATTCAAGGGATGCCAGCTTCCTGACCCAGGCTTCCATTCCAGAGGCTGACCGCTGAGTGGTCACACTGAGTGCTCACTCTGAGATTCTGTCTGGACTCATTCTCAAACAGAACTGAGACCTTATTACTCATCCTGAGTTTTGTCCAAATCTCAAAGAAAACCTAACCACCCATTATGCACCCAGCAGTATCTCCACTTGAATTATCTGTGGCAATGGTTCTCAAAGATTATTTCTAGCACAAGAGTTCATTTAATACCTGAAATCTTACCTGGGAACCCAATATTAAATTATTCATTCACTTGTTCTTTCTATAAATACTTAATGAGGCCTAGTCAGTACCTGGAGTTCTAGCAACAACAGTGAACAGAACACCTGCCCTCACTAAGCTCACACTCAAAATGGAGAAAGGTGGGGCTGCTGAGGAGGGACTGGAAGGTGGACTGTCCCCACCCTTCAGCACAGTCTCCGCCTGTGTGTAGCATCCTGAGAAAACTAAGAGCGCTATTTGGAAACCCCAGTTTTTGTCAAAACTCTTGAAAGTATACATCTCACAGCAACAGGTCTGTGCTTTCAAATGCAAATACTCATCTTGCCTAGTAGCCCTCCTTTTTCTAGGTTTCATAGGCTTAATCACACTCTCAAGAGTACATGGCTAGAAAAGTTACGACTCACGGTTTTATAATTATTTTCTAGCTACAATGACCCATCACTTCTAGATTTGACTCCAAATGACTTTGCAGTATTTAGGAATCAGGGTTACCTTGAAAGAATGTAAGATTTCTCCTACTGAGAATATTCCAGGAATGCAGTCGGTAATAGTGTTGTCACCAAGATGGTGACATAGGTAACTCCTGACATCATTCCGCCTCAAAAGAACCACTAACAGCTACTGTGGACAAAACACCAAGGAGAATCCTGGAACATGGAGTGAGGCTGAAGTCACTTCCTGCAGCACAAAGACCCACACTGCTGCAGCAGGAAGGTACGAGGGACGGCATCACACTGACTGCATTGCCCCCACCCCAGGCCAGCACAGTACCACGCAGAGAGGTGTCCCCTGAGCTTACAGTTCCTCCAGTGGGAAAAGAGTCTGGAATGACATCCCATGCCCCCAGCATTGTGGATCATTTTGTGGGAGCCAGTATACACTGGTTTTACTCCTGGAGATCACAGAGGAATCTACAGGGCTCGACCACTGGGAATCCAACTGCTGAAAATAGGAGAGAAGGCCTTCCAACCACTAGCACTTAGATCTTAGCAGACATATCTTCCCACAGAGGCCAAGCACTAACCAGCTTTGCTCATGCAGAATCAAGTCGCTGTTGCAGTCTCACCAGGGAAATCAGTGGCATGCAGGTCTGCTTGGGTTGGGTCCTTAAATGAAGTTTGCAGGCCCTAGAGCCTGGTCTGTCCATGCCCAGGCAGAAGGGGTGAGTCATAGCTCTGCACCTTAAACAGCATGGCTCACTTCCCCCTCCTGACAAAAAGCACATTTAAGGAAATATTGGGTATTAGCTGAAGTGGGCCATCCCAGTTCTGCCCAGGTAGGAGCATGGCCCTAGGCCATATCTGGCAGGAAGGGCTGGCTGGAACCTGACAGTAATGCCAGGACAAGATATGGGCAGGCAGAACTGACTGTCCTCAGAATAAGGCCAGTGTCCCTGTTCAGCCACGGAACTTGAGGCATGGGTCAACTTAAGCCAAGTACCAAATAAAGAGCCTCAGTGGTCTTGAAGATACATACTTCGGCCTCACTGGGCAGGGAAACTAATTCATAGCCTGACTCTTTGCTGAATATGGCCTTCAGCCCACCCAGCTGAGGCACCTTACCGAGTCACATGAGAATATATATAGACCCTCTGACAGCCATGCTTACAGTGACACTTGAGCAGAGAGCACAGCCTGTGGTGCTCCCTGTCTGCAGAGCCAAACCAGTGGCCTCACCTGACCAGGACATTCAGTGTACACTCTTAACCAATTTAGATCCCCAAACAAGCCATGCAGATCTTGGGTTCCATCCTATTGCCCTGCCAAGGTAGGAAAGCTAATTCAAAGCCCTACCTGCTTCTGAGGATAATACCCAGTCCTGACCATTTAGTAAACCTGACCAGAGAACCCAGGCAACTTTAAAGGCCTTCTTACAGTTTCACGTGGGCAGGGAACCAAGCCACAGGTCCTATCTAACAGTTTTCAGCCAGTGGCCCCTCACCTCTGACATCAGAGCTTGAATAGTGACCTTGTCCAAAAATAGACTCTAAGAGCAGGTTCCACCTGCCCAGAGACATTGCCAGCAGACCCATCCAGAAACCCAAACTGAGCCAAGTATTGAAGGACTGTCTCTGCCAAAGTGAACCTTCACACTCTGGAAGAGTAGACAAACTACTCAAATGCATGGATATCACACAAGGAATCAAGGATCATGAAAAATCAGGTAAATACGATACCACCAAAGGAAATGGATAAAGCATTAGTAACACCCTCAGGAAATGGAATCCTATGAACTCTCAAGCAAGGAATTCAGAATAATTCTCTTAAAGAACTTGAGTGAACTGAGAATATACAGCTTGACACCTAAACAAAATTAAGAAAACAATTCATGAACAAAACAAGTTCAACAAAGAAATAGAAACCAGCCCTGGCTGGTGTGGCTCAGTGGATTGAGTGCTAGCCTGCAAATCAAAGGGTTGCCAGTTCCATCCCCAGTCTAGTGTACATGCCTGGGTTGAGGGCCAGATACCCAGTAGGGGGTGTGAGAGACAATTACACATTGATGTTTCTCTCCCTCTCTTTCTCCCTCTCTTCCACTCTCTAAGAATAAATAAATGAAATCTTTTTAAAAAAAATATTCCCTTTAAAAAAATAGAAACTATTTAGCAAAAATACTGAAATCCTTAGGTGAAAAATATAAGAATTTAATAGAGAATTTCAAAAACAAATTCAACCATACAGAAGAGTCAGTGACCAGGAAGATGACGCATAAGGAACACAATGACAAGAAAAAATATTTTCATTATGGGAATTCCAGAAGGAGAAGGAAAAGAGAAAGAGACAGGACATATATTTAAAGCAGTAATGGCTGAAAATTCCCCAAGACTGGGGAGAGAAATATCCATCCAAGTCAAAGAAGACAAAAAAACCATATATGTTGAACTCATGGTTACACCAACACACAAAATTAAACCATCAAAAGTCAAAGACAAGGAAATAATATTAAAAATAGCAACAGAAGAGAGAAAATACATTGAAGGGAACCCTTGTAAGACTATTGGTGGATTTCTCAATGAACTCTTCAGGCCAGAAGAGAATGGGATGATGTATTCAAAATATGGAAAAGAGTAACTTCCAACCAATAATACTATACCTGGTGGAGCTGTCCTTCAGAAGTGAAGAAAGAGGGATACTGACTTTTCCTGAACAAACAAAAGCTTAATGAATTTGTAAAAGTTAGTGAATTCATAACCTGCCTTACAAGGAAAGCTAAAGGGAGTTCTTTGAGTGGAAATAAAGGAATGTTATTAACATTATATAATGTTATTAACACTATAAAAACATAAGAAGGTAGTGTAAAACTGGCAGGTAATAGTATATACATATATTCAAATATATATACACATATATGTATGTATACACATATGTACATATGTACATAGATACATGGTAGTGTATATATATTTAAATACATAAATATAGATATTTAGTCTGTAATATGGTAATGGTGGTGCTTAATTCACTTACCAATCTAGTTTAATAATTAACAAATTAGTAAAAATAACCATAACTACAATAATCAGATATTAGTTAAGTAATACAATATAAAAGTATGTAGATTGTAACATCAATAACCTAAAATATGAGGGGGAGGAGAAGTAAGAGTATAAAGCTTAGGAATTCTATTGAAGTTATTAAAACAGGGTGTCACAATTTTAAGAGACTTTATGTAAGCCTCATGTAACCACAAGAGAAAATCCTGTAGTAATTACACAAAAGAACATGATAAAGAAGTTGAGGCATACTGATACCACAGGACAAGAAGCAGGAATAATGGATCTATAAAACCAGAAAACAAATTTTAAAATGATGACAGTAAGTTGTTACTGATCAATGATTACTTTAAACATAAATGGAATAAGTTTTCCAATCAAAAGACAGAATGGCTAAATGGATAAAAGCAAAACCCAAGATCCAATGATATGCTGCCTACAAGAAACTAAATTTATTCCTAAAGACACAGACTGAGAGTGAAGGGATGAAAAAATATATTTCAGCAAATAGTAACTTCAAAAAAAGCATGGATAGTTATATGAGACAAAATAGACTTTAAGCTAAAAAATGTTAAAGAGAGACAATCATTATATAATGATAAAGAGGTCAATGTTTCAAAGAGATATAAAATTTATAAATATGTGTCCAAGTCAGAGTACCATAATATAAAAGGAGAAATAAACAGCAATGGAATAAAAGCTGGAGACAATGAAGCTACCAGATCTGTACATAACATACTATCCGACAACAGTAGAATGTACAGTCTTCTCAAGTGCATGTATAACATTTTCTAGGAAAGGCCATCTGTTAGACCACAAAACAAGACTTAGAAATTCAAGAAGATTGAAATCATACCAAGTATCTCCTCTGACCACAATTACATGAAGCTAGAAAGAGACAAAAACTGGAAAATTCACAAA